ATTAATTAAGAAAATATATAGATTAGGAAGATATTTAAAGTATAAAAGTTGAAAAATTTAAAGAAGCTGAAGGTTAGTTTAAGATAACTTGAAGAAGATAGTTCTTATCTCAAAAAAAGTTCTAAATAAAAAAAACAAAAAACAATAAAATATAATTTTTCGCTACTTATATAGTTACTGCATTTTATAACAAAATTGTTTCCTTATATTAATTTGTTTTTCCTATGATCTATATATCTTTTTTTTTATTTAATATGAAGTAACAGACAATCAATAACTGAAATAAATTTGATAAACAGTTTATTAACTATTATGACAAATATGGTAAAATGATATAGTAAATAGAAGAATGAAAAGAATTCATTTAATAAATACTTAAAATAAATTTTTTAATTATTAAAGTGTTTAAAATAAGAAAAAGAGAAATAACTTTTATTTTTTTTAAAAAAAATAAATTTTTTATTTTTTAAAAATAATAATAAATTTAATAATGATAATAATAATAATAAATAAGTAAAAAACAAAAAAATAAATTTTTTAAAAAAAAAAAAAAAAAAAAAAAAAAAACTTTTATTTTTTTTGGCTAAATTAATGGTTTGTTTTTTTGTACAAAGCAACTCACATCAAAAAATACTTTCACCGGAATTGCAACACATCTTTCGCAATTCTGTGTATCAATTGTAGTTCATTTATTTTAGTAATAACCCTGACTCTTGCATTTTGTATTAGTTCACCAAATGGTACTACTTTTTCAATGCAAAGTCTATATGATAATGACAAAAACTGACAACTGACAGCATTGTCCGCTTTAATAAATGTGTAAAAAAATATATTTTGCATTTTTATTTTTCCAATTAAATTAACTTTTTCAGTTTATTTTTGGTGAAACACAAAATAAGATCAAATAAGTAAATAAATTTTTAAATTATTACAACACATTATTTCATAAGGGTAGAGAAGCTCCATAATCATCACCCCTTAAAACCTATATTAAGTATTGCATAATAAATATTGTTATTATATTGGTAGTAATAGTAATAGTAATATTTATTGCTGTAACAATTACATATTTGTTTAAATATAAATATTTAAAAATAAAATAAATTGTGGAACGCGATGCAATTATCGGGTTATAGACAGCCCACACAAATTAAAAAAACACAAGTTATGAAAAATGTTTATCTATTCGCGCTTTGAAAACATTCAACGATGTTGCTTCAATGATTTCATTTGGTAACAAATTCCAAATTTTACAAACTCGATTGGTAAAAAAATTATATCTCGGTAAACATGATGGTATGTATTCTCTTTCTAGCCTGTATTTATTGCCCCTTACAGAAAAAGCCGGGCCTGAACTAGTCACGGATGATGCCGGTTTTGGATTTTTGTACCAATTTATTTGGTCTATATTTTGCTTGAATCTGTATTGTTGTATAAGATCTCCTCTAGCTCGTCTTTTCTCTAATGTTGTTAAACCCATTGCTTTCAGTCTTTTTTCATATGAAATCTTTTTAAGTTGTGGAACTAACTTCGTTGCTCTTCTTTGCACTTTCTCTAACTCATCAATATCCCGTTGTAAATAAGGCTGCCATGCAGGTATAGGAAGCGGTCTCACAAATGTCGTATATAGTCATATCACCATTTCCACATGGAAGTATGTAAACGTACATTTAATTAGACCCAAAGTTCTTTGTGCTTTTGCTGTCGCTGAAGTCACTTGATCATGCCATTTAAGGTTGGATGAAATAATCACTCCTAAATCTCTTTCACTTACTGTTGTTTTTAATTTATACTCTTTGCCGTCGTGGTTCATACAATAACTCATACGTGGATTTTTTTTACCTAAATGCATCACCTTGCACTTTTCGATGTTCAACTTTGTCAACCAGATATCTGTCCATTTTACAAATTCGTTAATGTCATTCTGCAAAGACTCATGATCTTCAACATTTTTTATAACTTTGATAAGTTTACTGTCATCTGCATATAATTTGCAATTGGAATTAATAACTGATGGTAGATCATTTACGAATATCAAGAATAACAAAGGACCAAGCACAGAGCCTTGAGGCACACCACTAAAAATCTCAAGCCATGGAGACACGTCTACACCCATCACAACTCTTTGCCTTCTTTCTTTTAAAAAAGACGATATCCAGTCATTTATTACACCCTTGATACCATATGCTTCACACTTTTTCAACAGTCTTTTATGTGGAACCTTATCAAAGGCTTTGGCAAAATCCATATAAATCATATCTACCGCTAAACTGTCACTCATGCTTGCTGTTAAAATGTCTAATGTTTCTAGCAAATTTGTTACACAGGCTTTATTTTTTACGAAGCCATGTTGATTTTTTGATAGCAATTTATTTTCCATCAGATGAGTTATTATTGCTTCTTTTATGAATGCTTCCATAACTTTGCCTGGTACAGATGTTAATGATACGGGTCTGTAGTTAAGCGGGTCTGTTGTATTTCCATTCTTGAATATTGGAGTAATATTTGCTTCTTTCTATTTGCTAGGAATTTTTCCTGTTTCAATTGATTTTCGGTAAATTAAAGCTAATGGAGTTGCTGCACTACTTGAACAACTTTTAAGTACGTAAGGACTAATACCATCACTACCACATGCTTTGTTGACGTCCAAAGAATACAGTTTTTGCTGAACTGCCTCATTTGTAACAACATTTTTCCAATCCCATTCAAAAGGTTTTGTAATACGTGGTACAAACTCCGGAATTTCACCATGCTCTTTAACAAAAACCGATTGAAAACTTTTGTTCAATATATTAACAATCTCATGCCTGTCAGATGTGAGTACATTTGCATAGTTTTTCATTGATTGTATTTTACCGATGTTTTTTTGGTTCTTTTTCGCGTATTTGTAGAACAGTCTCGGATTTTTTTTTGCATTATTTATAAGATTTTTCTCATAATCAATAGTGGATTCTTTTAATTTGCTTTTGACTAATTTTTTTACTGCTTTGTACTCATTTAATTTATTAAGATATTTAAATTTACCAGCTCTTAATTGGTTCCATAAATTTTTCTTTTTACGTATTAAAGCTTTAACTTCAATTGTTATGCATGGGTCTTTTTTAACTTTTTGATCAAACCTGGCTCTTTTCTTTGGAATATTCAATTCAATCAACTCATTATATTTTTGTACGAAAGCACTGTAGCAATGGTCCACGTTTAAATCCTTGAATAATTCATACCAATTTATTAAATTAAAACCAAGATTTATTTTTTCAAAGTCTCCTTTTTGGTAATTTATATCTTTACTATTGAATTGTATAGGGATTGTGTCAGCACCTTGCATGTCATATTTGAATTGAATTACATAATGTGCTTTTTCAATTGGTCCAAGTGGTGCGCCTATTTCTACGTCTCTAATCCTTTTGCAGTTATCTGTCATTAGTAAATCAAGTGTGTTTGTAGGTTCTTCGTCGGATATTTGAAATGTTGATCCAAAAATACATTGTTCAATAAAATTTTCATTTAAATTATCAATAAATTTTATACTAATATCACAGTTTTGTTTCAGTTTTGTTCCACCATCTTTGTACCATTTTATGTGTGGATAATTAAAATCACTAGTTATAATTAATCCGGTATATTTTTTTTGGTCTACTAGACTTTTGGCTATTCCAAGCACTGAATTGATTTTAGTGTTTACGCTTTCTGGACTACTTGGCGGTCTGTAAATACATCCAATTACACCAAACTACACCATATCTGCTCTATTCCATTGTCACATAATGCTAAATGACTTACACTTGTTGTAATAAATGTTGATTTTGCATAAATTACTACTCCCCCACCATTTTCACCAAGCAGTCTGTTTTTGTTGTAGCAGTTGTACCCATCAATATTGATAACTGATTTATCATTGAACCATGTTTCACTTACTAATATAATATCTGGTTTATCACAGGACAAGTACGCTTTTAGTTGTTGCATTTTATTATTAAGTGAAGTTGCATTGGTGTACCAAAGTTTGATGTGATTTTTGTGTGGGTTGTTGTTTCTTGATTTTTCGAGGCTAGGTATTGATGTTGGTCCACCCTTAAATTTAAACACAGCATTTACTAATACATTTACATGTGAATATGAAAAATGATTTGAGTTTTTGTCCTTTAGATCATATAGCTATTTTTTGATTTTTGTTACTTTTTCATTTCGAATTCCATAGTAGAACTCGTTTTCAATGTTCTCTTTGTTGTTTTTTCTGCATTCTTCTCTTAAAAACTTTGATTTAAACCTTTCACTTTCCGTTAAATCGGGATTTATATAGACATTCTCATATTCTTTCGAATCTCGTAATTCTTTGGCTTTTTTTAAGATAGAATTCCTTTCTCTTTTATCTTTCAGTATGACAACAAATGGGGCTTGATTATTGGTGTTTCTTGGTTTTAGTTTCATAAAATTTTGAACATTAACGGTTACTTGCAATTTTTTAAAAACATTAATTATAGCTCGTCTATTTTCTTCTTTCTCTTTACTCTTTTCTTCGTTTTCCGATGGTTTAATTCCGAAAATAACTACATTGTTTTCTCTTCTTTCTCGTTTTTTTGTCTCACTAGTAACGGAATTTATCATAAGCATTTGTTCTGGTGACTTTTTTACCATGTTTGCCCACGTTACATTGTTATTTATATGACTGGTACTTGATTTATTCATTTCTAAATCATCTACTCTTTTTGTTAAATTCATATTATCAGTTATTAATTTTTCAATTTGTAGTTTCAGATCTCCAATAATTTGTTCCTGTTGAGCCTTGTAGGCATTAAACTCTTGAGCATTTACCATTTTCTTGAAAAATTTTAAATTATATTAACTAGTTCTTCAAACTCTGTTGTTTTTTCGTTAATAACAAGACGTATATATATAGTATATATATACGTCTATAGAAATAATTTTTACTTAAAATTTTATATTTAATATAAAAACAAAAGTTTTAGATAAACAAATATAAAACATAATTTTTATTTTAGTCTGGACTCAATTCCTCCCATCGAAAATATCACTACTATTGCCTTACCTGAACCTGTCTTATTGGAAACACTCAAATATGAAGAAATTCCGAAACTTTGGTCTAAGTTTGTTCGTCAGTTAGTAAGCCACCCATCTGTAGAAGAAGCATTAGATTCTTTTCCTTGCTTTCCATTGATTTTGAAAGCATGGAATATGTGGATTAAAAGTTTGATAGATGACGCGCAAATGTTTTTTCGTTTAATTGGCGTGATTGATATTGCAGGTAAACTTTCGTTGGTCAAAGACGAGCTAGAAAAAAACTTCAAGGTCCCGTATTTGTTTGTAGATGAAGAGGTTTTTTCGGCGACAAAACTTCTGTCAAAGCATCGGTTAACTACCCTTAAATTAAATGTCGCTCTACAATGTCTTCAAGAGAAGCGGCAACTTGCAATCCAACAACTTGAAATGCTTCAGCAAAGCTTCAAAGCAAAAACTATTTCTAGTGAACAAAATGATTTTTTTTTTCATTCAAATTTTGAAGAATCTGCAGTACACGATCTTTGTCTATATTTGTATCATGTTCACATGCAGTACATCCTATGTTTAGAGATATACTCTGCTTATATTGAAAAGACTGTTACCATTGTTCGTAACACGAATCAAGTAAGTAACGATGTTTGTTTAATTTATTTTAAACAAATATACTGTAAAAAATAATAGCTAGCTAATATTACTTGTTCTGAATAAATAAAACTTTGTACAAGTTAATAAAATTATAAAACTTTTCGTATATTATATTTATCTAAAGTAGTATGTTCTTTATAAATATTATGAAGATAATCTTACATTTGGATAGGCGATTCATTTTGTCTTACTGCAAGTTATCCTGAAGTAAGATCAAATAAGTGCAATACAAGTTTCATAATTCAATGCCTTTTTCTTCTTTTTTTTTTATTACAGCCTTTTTATTTATTACAACTTTTATTTTCATACATTTTTATTACAAATTCTTTTCCAATATTTTTATCACAAATTCTTTTCCAATGTTTTAATACTACAATATAAAAGTATCTACAAGTAACATTTCAAAATAATAATATAAAATCTTTAAAAAATATCTACAAGTAACATTTTAAAATAATAATATAAAATCTTTAAAAAGTATCTACAAGTAATATTTACTTGTGTCTCTTAAACAAACAATTAAATTAAACTTTACATAAGTATATATTTCTTATATAAAGTTATCCGATAAATCAGTATTCTTATGCAGCGTATGTTTAAAATTTATAATCATTTTTATGTAGCACTCTGACTTAACAACCGATCTAATAAGCATGCGTAGTGAGTTAATAACGACGCAAAAATCTTTGAACGATTCAGCAGTTTTAAGAGATACCGTCAGGACTGCTACAAACTCGGAAGATATTTTTAATGATGCAAAGGACTCGGTTGGTTTAAATAATGTTGCAGATTTTAACGGTACGGCAGAGTCTCCAGACACATTTACCAATACTTCAAATAATGAAAATACTTTTACATTGTATAGAGATATATCTAGTATGTTATTAAATGCAGTTGCGAACCGTCAGTTCGACGAAGCGATTTCGATAATTCGCAGTTTTAGAGAAAATTATCAGAATTCATCTAGTTTTGAAGTAAAACTTGAAGAAGAAATTGAAACTATTCTATCGATTTATGCTAAAAACATACTTAAATCTCGTTCGGGTGTCTTTGCGTTACTTGGATCTTACGACCATTTAGTGACGCTGTGCGATAAACTAAATGAACTTTTAGCGGATTTTTTATCTTCTGCGTATGAAAGATCTGATGCTTCAGAGATTCTCAAAAAAGAACAACCAGATGTTTCTTGAGCGCCGTTAATAAAATTTCTTGCTTTTTACTTTTATATAAACGCCTCAATGTAATATAAGCTTTTATTAATGAATATTTAAATATTTTATATTTAACTTCTTGATGTTGTCACTTGGCACTCGAGATATGTTCGCTTTCCGTTTATGATTCTTCTGATGCTCTAATTTCATAAAGATTTATCTTTACCATAAAATCAAATTTATCTCTTATAAATTTGTTCTTTCTTTCTAGAAAGAACAAATTATAAAAAAAAAATTTATAATTTAAATATGCTGAGCAAAAAGTTTATGATGTTTTCTTTTGCGTTTAATTTTTTTTTTCTTACAAATATTAAAATTTTAATGGAATATTGTAGAAATTATTATATTTGAAAATAACGTTTTAAATTATGCAAAAAGTTGTAGGGAATAGGTTAGGGTATAATGAGCATCTTTAGAGAAAATTGTAATATTTTTAAAAATATTTATGCTGAATCCAAAATTTTTGCAGATAACAATTTCTAGGGATCACGATTCTTTATCAACTTATTAAAAGATCAAATTTTAAGCCACTTTATATATAAACAATACTACTTTGTTTTTATGCACATTAAAAAATTAATTCCTTTATTTTTCAATTTAATTAACTCAAACAAAAAAACAAAAATTTTTTCGAAATTAAATTACAGAAAAATATTTAGTATTGTTATAATAATAAATCTATTTACTATGTTTTGCTTTTATTCAAAAAGCAATTAAAAGCACTACAATTTTAAGAATTTTAAACTAGGTAATTTCACTAAAAAACACTGACTCATATTGCATGAAAATGGTTTTATTTAAATGAGATCAAAAACATTCCATTGTTTTCCAAACTAAAATGGAAAGAATTTTTAGCTAACATAAAAATACAAAAAATTTTCAAATTTACGTATCTTAAAAATTTTTCGGTATGCTCATATTATCTAGATCCTCATATTACCCGAATCTACTCTAAATATGTTTTTTTCTAAATTCAAATTTTGAAACTCCTGAAAATAATAAAAACATAAAATTAATAAAATATAGAAAAATTAATATAAACATAAAACATTTTATAGTAAAAACTAATTATGAATTTTATTTTAAAAATATATTGCTAAAATCTGCAAAATTTTGTAATTTAAAAAGTCTCTGTTTTTGGTTTAAAGGGAAAAAACTTTGGTTCAAAGTAAACACACTAAATGTAATAATTTTTTATAACAATCATTTATCAAATACTCTTTTTGAACAATTAGTTATCTGACATTTACATTGGGATGGCGCAAAATATATTTGTATATTTTCGCCTAATATTAGCGATTAAAACTCGCATTTTGAATAAGCTATTTATTTTCAATCGCATTTCGTAAAAAAGCTTTTTTATTTTTATTTTCGCAATAATTAATACAGTGTGAGTTAAAATCTCATGTAACTTCTTTTTTTCACTAGATTAATTTTTTCTAATATGTTATTTTGTAAACATTTTAGGTTTTTTTTTGGTGGCTTATAGCTACAGCTTATTAGTAGGGATTTTTTTTTCTTTCTTTTTGATTAGTTAAATTGTTAAAATCTCATTATTTACATCAGAAACACATTGCGTCAAAAATTATTCAAAAGATCATCTTTTACAAAAAAAACAATTCATCCTACATACTTTTTATCGTTCCGCTCTAAAATAGTTGGATTAAAACTAATTAGAATTAGTAATTGGAGGACTTTTAAAAATAGCAAGTCAGCATCTAATTTCAATCATGACAATTAAGTTAAAAGACATTAGTTTCGCAAACAAAATTTTAGAAGTTTACATAACTTTATTAAACTCTTAGTTTAGATGCAGGGTCGTCCCTAGGGAAAGGGGAGAAAGTCTTAGCGTAGAGAGTGTTTAAACCCCCCTACGAAGATTTTATTTAAAAATTAGTCGTGAAATTTACTTTAATTTTACCATTAAATGTCAGCAAATAGGGATTTTTTTTTTTCACGTTCTCTTTTATTAGTAAGTCGGTAAAAAAAAGATAGGTCACCTTCCTTCCCCTTCCTTTAAAGATCTTTTCAGGACGACCATGTTTATATTGAATACATTTAAATAACCATTTAATTATTCTCAATAATTTTCAGAAAACTTTTAGTTTCGTTTGGATAAAAATAAGTCCATTCAAATTTAAACTTAATCATTTCGTTAAAATAATTTAAATCTGAATTTCATCATTAAAGTTCTAATTATTAATTTGAAAAAAATTAAATAATTTTTTAGAATTATAATATTTTGAATTCAATTTAGTATTTATTAAATCAAAAAAATATATATTTAAAAATCAAAAATTTATGAAAATAGTAATTGTAGACAACCTTTGCAAACTTTCCGATTGATCGTAATACTTTGCCTCTAAAAACAATTCAATGAGCATCTTCAACAATAAAATCATATTTAAAAATTTAGATGTAATAAGTTTTTGTATATTGTTTTCACCTTCTTTCCAGGATTTATTGTATCTTTCTTCTATGCCGATAAATCTTATTTCTCCGACTTGGTAGTCGGAGAAATAAGATTTATCTTTGAGTTCAGCTTTTTTATCTTTGAATTTAAGGAATTGGAAAAAAAGTATTTGAAAATGATGTTTGTATCAAAGTTTAATACAATTATTGTTTTTCTTTTTTTTTTTTGTTACTATCAATTTCTTGACAACATTTTTTTGCTTAATAATTTTAGAGAACTATATTAAGATGCTTTCTTATTTATCATTTACAAATTTAACTAATTTCTTTCAACTGATATTTTTAATTCAGTGATTTCGTTTTTAAAATTTCTTTGGCCAATGCATAATTTGTTTTCTAGTCTTTTGGTTTTGTTGTAAAAAGCTTTATAATTGTATTCTTTAAATTTTTAAACGTGTTTAGATTTTTTACAAAAGTATTATCCTCACAGCAAAGAAAAGTACGTGTCATCGGGCACATTGAACTAAAATTACCATCTGCATTAGGTATTTTATATAAATCTCGCGCATTTGACGAAAAAAAGTTCATATGCTAATATAACATGGGATATATCCAGTGACGGATCAAGGTGGGGGTAGCGGATCAGGGGTATTGCATCCCAGAGTCTGAAAGTCCTAAAAAATCTTAAAAAATGAGAACCTTTTTTTTTTTTTTAGGAGACTCAAATGTGATACAAAATATAAAAAAATTTCAACATGTATTATATATATATATATATATATATATATATATATATATATATATATATATATATACACCTCGCTTAAGCGCGCTTGAACGAGATGCTTTTTCCATATGAACATAAGCTGAAATTCATCCCGCCCATGCGGCGGGATGTTTTTCTCTATATGATCAGCCCCTAAGTATAATAACCTTACACTTTTTACCATTAAACTTAATAAGCCATTTTTTGACCATTCAAATGCTCTAATAAGGTTATCTTAAATAGCTGATAAGGACTTGTTGCTGCAAACTTGATATTATGATTTTAGTATCACCAGCAAATAACTTAGATGCATTAGTTAAGCTTTTAAGATTTTTTTTAACTTTAGTTTTTTTTTAAGCTTTTTGGTAAGTCATTAATAAAAATGACAAAATAATAAAATAAAACCATAAGGAATACTTTTAAAAACATATATCCAATCTGACTCAACTTGTCTAATTAAAAAATGTTGCTTCCTATTTTCTAATAATGATGTAATCCATATGACAAAAAGATTATTGATAACATAATATCTTAATTTAATCAAAAGTCTTTCATGAGGAACTGTATCAAATGCTCTCCGTCAGTTGGGTTTTGAACGTTCAAAAGAACGTCTTTTTTGGACCAAATGCTAACTGGGTATATATACCTTTTATACAGTATAGTTGCTCAGCACATCACATCTTATTGTATTATAAGGCGTCTATCAAATACGTATGCATTTAAACCACTTCAGAATTTAGGACCCGATCTTCCCCTTGTATGCACATGTAAGATATAAATACCACTTTCCACTGCGTGCGTACGCATCAACTATTACAAAAAAAACTACGCATTAATTATTACAAAAAACACTAGTACAAACCTCCCTCCCTCCAAAACGCATAAAATTTCAAAAATATTCAAAACAAAAGAAAAGAAACCTTTAGTTAGTTTAACATCGTCGCTTCAAAGCAAATCTTATATCCATTTTTGACAAAATTGACTTTTTTGGTTTAAAATACTTCTTAGGTGCACAAAAGTCATCTCGTAAAGTAAGGAAACAAAATTCATTCAACTTTGGCAACTATGAGTAAAATTCATATATATTGTCCTAAAAAAAATATTTAAGAGACATCGTTGCTGTAAAACAAAACTATTTTAATTCCATTTTTTGGCAATTAAAATAGTTTTGCTTTACAGCAACGATTTTGAAAACTTTTTTGGTCAATAGTTATAATAAATAACTGAAAACAAGTAGGTTTAATCAAAAAAATAAAATGCAGTGATTAAATTTAAAACTTTGAGCGTCTTTTTCTTAGATCAGTCAAAATGGACTTAAGATGGTCTTGTTTTGCTGCGGCAATTTAGTTCGTAGAATTTTCTCATATTTATATAGTTTTAAGATTATCTCTATGTTGCTTCTTATAAAACTTAAATTTTTATTTGTTATATTATGAAAAATAATATAATATTTTATAAGTATTTTAAAAACAATTTGGTTTAATTAAGAATATCAAACGCAGCAATGAATTAAAAACATTTGCCTTTTTGCACTTTTTCTTAGAACAGCAAAAATGGACGCATTTGTACGTTTTTGGGTAACCCCCCTTCCCCATACTTGCGTACGTACTTATATACTTCTACCACGTAATTTATAACAGGTATTAATTAAAAGTAAACGACGATAAAACCTTATAATAAGATGTTATATATTACGATAAATTATTTAAAAAATCAAAAAAACAGTAATTACTATAAATAAATTCTTTATTCAATCGTTTTGCTTAATTAGGCTCCTTTTCATCTGAATAATTACTATGTAATTTATGGTAAGCTCTCTTATCAAACCTATTCCGACGGTTTCCTTTGTCCGCAACAATGAAAATAATTAATCTTTCAGTTCAAGACAACCTGCCCAAACCCAAACCCTTAATGTATGCACACTCATTGTGCCTATGGCTACATAAATCAGTTAATGTATGTACACTGCGACGCGCATATCCCCTAAATATTCCGGTTTTCATGCTCAACGTCGGAATAGAGGTTTGAAAAGAAAGACAATCGTAATTTATGGGTAGATGATAGAATCAAAATCCTATTCCGACGTTTAAAGGTTGGTGTAAATTGATGACCGGAATACCACAAAATAAGTGTTGGCTGTGTTTGCCTTGATTTTAAACACATTTTTTTAACTTATTGCCTGCCCAAACCAAAAGCCTAAGTTGATTTATGTACACGCCTTGTATGTTATATCTATTTAGTCAGTCGATGTATGGACACTCCCTTCCTGGTCTACATTTTTAAAACAATATACGTGTGCAAAACTTCGGAATAGGTTTTTTATTTTATAAATCTACCTAATTTATGATAGATATTTTAAAGACAAACGAAAACTATCCTTTTAACACAATGTTAATTTTTACGTTTTTTTGTAAAAAAAAAAAAAAATTAAAAATATATAACTAGTTATAATTATTATTATTAATTCTTTATTTAATCGTTTTAATTAGACTTATTATTTATATATGGTCGCAGCAAGTTTATACTTTCTATCCAAAACATTAAAAATAATTTGATCATATTATGAAATAGTATTATTTTCATATTTTTCATGTATTGTACAAGTAATTTAAAAAATAAATACACCACTAAGATCAGAAGAACAGCATCCATCGATTTACTTAATCACGTTCAACGTGTCACGTTGCATTAACAACGATATTTACCATTTAAATAAAAAAACCACTGTAAAAAAAAAAAAAATTCCCAAAACAATTATTTTAAAAATAACAACAACTTATTAGTGCAATCAAAAGCATTCCAAGAATGTGTACCCATTAAGTACCGTAAAAAGTCACTGATATTTCTTGGACAACCCCAGCAATTTCACTGTTGTTTAAATTCTCATTATTGTTGGTGTCGTTAGGAGTATCTGTATTGTCGGTATCGTTGGTAGAGTCTGTATTTCCTGAATCGTTGGTCTCATCATCACTTTTTTTACTATAACTATCAGCATCTTCGACAGCTGATCGTTTAAATCGAGAACCATAATAATCACCGTATGTTTCTTTTCTATCTAGGTAGCGTTGATATGCTGCATCTCTAAAACCACCTGACCAAACAGTCTTTTTTTCATTTGAAATATCTTCTCCTAGGGTTACATCGGCACTTTCTTCTTCAAATTTTTCATCTGTACCTTCCTTTTTTTTTTCATCTAACTCTTTTATGTATTCATCCTCAAGATCTCGCACATTACGCTCATATGAATTGCTAACATTTTTGTCAATAAACAACAATTGCCAAGTTCCTTTTGGATTCTCGCACCAATTGAATAGGGTCATTAAAGTCCATCCTTTAAGTCCTGTAGTAGAATCGTCATAAGGTCGTTCGTGCAACATATGACTGACAGTTCCAGCAGGTGAAATTAGATCAATGCTCAGGTCTCCTCTACGACGATGCTTTAATGTAACGTTAACTACAACATGTTCTAGTTTTGTTATACTGTTTTTACATTTTCCTTCATCGTTTTTGGTTTTGCAGCTTTGACAGCCATCTGTTGTGAAACTTAGTTTAAAGTGATGACCAGAAGGAATGTAGCCATTATCAAAACTTAATTTAAAATGACAGCTTTTTTGAGGTGATACTAGAGTCCAATTTAAAGCTTGTTTCACTAATGCAAAAGCATCAAGAAGTCCAAAACCAAATTTGTGATTGTATGGCTTTCCACAACCATTAACCGCCCAGCCTAAATCCATAGGACTTGTTTTAACAGCAGTTTGGAAAACCAAATGTTGAATGTCGCGCCAGGTTAGTAAAGGGTTTGCTTCAAGCACCAAAGCGAAAATTCCTGCTGCAAGCGGAGCTGCTGAAGATGTTCCAACAAAACTGTCAGTGCATTGATGATGTAAATATGTTGTAATAACTACGGCTTGTGGATCACCGTTACTACCAGAGTGAGCTCCACTGCAATATGTAACAGCAATCATTGCCGCACATTTTTCACCATAATAAGTGGATACACCATGTTCATTGACAGAACCGATACCAAGTGTATAAATACTGTTAACATAGCCATCAGCATTACAGTCATCTTTATTCATACCTCCATTACCAGTTGCCCAGACAAACAAAGACCCTCTACCTAAAAAAAATATTTATATAAAGCACAAAGTTTATGAAACTGAAGACTAACAAGTATTTAACTCAATTAAGTCCTGAATAGAAATCCACACTTAGATTAATTAAATTTGGATTTAATTAATCTAAGTGTGGATTAAAAGATTTTCTAACCAGGAAATTCTTAATCCATCCACCCCTAGTCCAGTTAAATTAGATTACTTTTGGTAAAAAAATTTATAAACCTCAAACTTTTCACAGTGATTCTCCTAAGTACGTAAAAAAATTTATAAAGCTGAAACTTTTCTCAGTGATTCTCTAAGGTATGTATGTAAAAAAATGCCCCATTGATTTGCAACAAGAGTACCCCCTTTCCTGTAACTTATTTTGAAACTTATTTTGAAACAAAATGCTCAAAACTATTTTTCTTCAAACAGACATTTTATAATATATACACAATATATTTTTATATTTTAAAGCGTTTTTTATGCTGAACAACTTTTACATATCACAAAGATATGTAAAAAAGAACTATTATATAAACAACAAAATAAAGATTATTGTAATGAACAACAAATAACGTAATAGCTATTGTAATGAACAACAAATTATGTAATAACATATTGTAATGAATAACAAATAATGTAAAAATGAACAACTATTACATATCACAAAACTCTTAAAATAAAAGGTATGTAAAAATTAAACGCTAATAATAATAGGCTTTTTAATGAATGTTTTAGTAGAAAGGCTCATATTTCACACTTAATACAAATAAGATTAAATCGTTCCATCGCTTGAATCCATTACTTATTTTTTTTTTGGTTCTTGATTTCATTCCTGCTGTTCTCTTGAATTACTGATTGCCTAACCTGGTATATCCATAAATGAACCTGGTACATTCAAACAGGAACCTGGTATATTCATACATGAACCTGGTACACCCATATGAAGTGATTAAAAATCTTTATTCTACATTTCTCATCCATATGAGAAATGTAGAATAAGCAATTTGCATCTAATAGATTTATCAATATTGATGCCAACTCTGAATGGTATTTGTATAATGACACTTTTCAGTCTTGAAGTTTGTATAATACATCAGCTCAGACTTAACCACTTCAGATTGGAAAGAATGAGTAACACAAATGTTTTCAACAATTCAGGAACCTACTTTTAAAATTAAAAACCTTTACTATATTCAAATGACCTTATTTCTTTACTATCTTGACAGCAGCTTTCACCATCTCTTGTTGCTGGCTTTTCTTCTTTAAGTTCCCTCAGTATATAATCTTCCATATTTTAAAGTAAAACAAATTTACTTTTACAGCCAGCACTTTAGACAAAATGGACATGGTCTTCATTCACTACCTTAAGTTTTGATCAAATTTTTTTGAGATGATATCCAACACCATTGTCTTTGATCATCTAATCATTTAACTCTCTAATAGAACATATTTCATTTCCAAAAGCATTTTCAAACCAATTACAAATGTTTTTGAATGTATTGGTCATGATCAGATCTTCTGATCTTCACTTACCACTTTTCTCCATTTAGTTGAGTCTAAAGTTAACCATGCATGATCTACGATACACTACTTGTTTGCAACCAGGTCATTTAATGTTTTTACTTTTGTAAATACTGCTTCACCCCAAATCATTCCTTATGTTTGCACACTCGTTAATGGTAGCATTTGCACTTGGTGGAGTCTTTCCTTATGTTACATAACCAGTTTTAAGCAAAACAAAAAAACAAAAAAAAAAAACTTTTAATAGAAAAGCAGCTTCAATGATGAATGTAACCTTTTAGATTAGATACAGCATTTAGATGCAGATACAACATTTTTTGCTGTTTGAACTTTCAGACAAAGCAAACTCCAAACATTTATATGTTTATACTCACCAGCTAGCACAGAACAATCGTTGGATGTCTTTAGGACATCATACGGACTTGTGATGTCTATAAGACTTTGTATAGCCTGCTGGGTTATGTCAAATAAAGATGCTATTGCAATTTTTACTATGCAAAAATTGCAATGGTTAGAGCCTGAGCACAAGAAAGCTTTACAACTTTGGCCCCACTACCCAAACATAAGAGCAACTTTCCTTTATTTAACTCTCAAGCCCTTAATACAAGGAGGGAGGGGTAAATAAATAGAAGGGGGGGAGGAGATTTAAGGAGAAGGGGGAGGGGAATAAAAGGGAGGGGGAGGGGAATTTTTTATGTTGCAATATAAGCGTTTTTTATCAAAAAATTTTAGTTTATAAATCTAAACTAATATTTTTTACAAGACACGCATAAACCTATTTAATTCTAGCGTGGCTTGTGGTCAAATAAGCATTTTATAAAAAAACAGCTGTTTTTTCATAATTTCAATAGAATTTAATATGCTGATTAGTTAGTGACCCCAGCCCCGGCAAAAAAATGAGACTTTTTGCAAACCTGGCCCCGACAAAATTATAAGATTTAGCAGGGGTTGATAGTATGGGTTGATAGCCGGGGCTAAAAAATTATTTATAATACTAAATATATTATAATTGTATGCTTACATTTATAAAATATTAAATACTGGCATACAGTTATATATTTTTAAACTCTAATTTACTTCCAACAAGATTGCAAGCAACCATGAGTTACTTTAAAATAGAGAAAAAGTTAAAATACTAGGAAATGTATAAATGAAGACTTAAAAAGTTGTAAGTTGTATAAAAAAGGAAAACATGAAGATGGGTAAGAGTTATAAGGTTTTTTTGATGTTTGAGGAAAAAAACTGGATGAATAAAAGTTTTTATAGCATGAAGGGACAGATACAGTAAAAGGATGCAACTTGTTGAATAAATAGCCAAGCAAGAATAAGTTTTGGTTTATTGTTACAGAAATGGTAGCTCGTTTGAGCACTGACCATGATTCTATTTGTAGGAAGAAAAAAAAAATGCAACCTAACAACAATAGGAGAGTGGCTTAAACTTGGCAGATAAACCAGGTCTAATTACACTTACAATGTGCTTTTAAACTTTGTCTGAGAGTAAGAGGGTTGTTATTTGTCAATATAGGAATGCCAACAATATTGCAATAAATTTTTGCAGTAAATAAATGAGTTTTGTTATCTAACAAAAATTGTAGATTTTAAATCCAGATTTTAAATCAAGCCTTAGGCTGTTACAGAAGAGAGATCTTACCCGGCTATATTTTATCAAACTTGGCCCTGATCAAATATTAACCCCGGCCACTAATGCTAATATAAGTTTTATACTTTGGTAAGAAATAAACCAATTTATCATAGGAAAAAGCACATTTTCCACAAATCAAGGTTTACAAAGTCGGCAATTTTTGAAACCTGTTTATACTGAAAGTTTTTTTTATCAATGACTGAAAGAAATATTTCCCCCTTTTGAATAAGGATTTGAGAGTACTTTTTTTTAACTAAGTTTTTATACATTGATAAATTTCAAATTTCATACAATAATCTTTAAGCATTTACAAATTATGACCATATAAAGTTCAAAGATACGTAGATAAAGAGATTAGTAAATACTGTAACTAGATCAACACTTTATTTTTTTCCTTTTTAAATGCATATTACTAATAAATTAAACAAAACTACCTGTATCAAATCAGATAAACACTTATTTCTATAGACTGAATAAAACATTTAGGGTTGAAAAATGCTAAAAAATGGTATATATTAAGTCTATTTTTAAGGAAAAGTAGTTTTGACCATTTTATGCATGCGCCATTTTAAAATAGGACCTGAATATGGGTTCTCCTGTTACAAATCATGGGGATTTTTTAATGTGATAATATACTTTAGCAAATCACTGGGCAAATTTATTTCCTGGACTTCCACTCTTTCAAATTTTACTCCTGGACTTCAAATTTCACTGCTGGGTTTCCACTCATTAAAAAAATTAAAAAAACAAACAAAATTCTTCAATGTTAGTTTTAAAATTTTAATCAACAGGTTTTTAATATATCTGTTAATCAAATTTGCAAAAGAACTTTTTTTTTTCTAGTTTGAGTTTTAGTTCATAGTTTGAGTTTTAGTTCATTAGACTTAAGCTTATTAAAAAAATGAAATTTTTTAAATTTTTTATCTAAACCCTTTGACTATTAGTTTTTGAGATTTTTTTTTTGTTTTACTATCTATTTATCCCTGAGAGTACTTTAAAATGTCATTAATACAGGCCTTGTTTTAAAACGTTAAGCTGCCAGCAATTTATGTATGCATTAAGTAATTTTACGTATGCCTAGAGCCATTAAGCAACATTAAATTTCCATTATCATTTTTTAACTTTTAAATTATTTGGTAAGCGGTAAGATAAAAGAAGTAATTAATTTTATAAAAAATACTTAAACCTTTGAATAATGATTATGTAAAGAATTTTGTTACAAAACTTTGAATGACAATTATGTTGGATATAAGTAAAAGAGCTTAAGATCTCCAACTTCTTTTTTTAAAAATAATTTAGCGTTGCCTAATTTACGGGCGATCCCTTAAAAAAAATATATTTAAGTTTATTAAAATTAAAGTTAATGTTTGGGTTAAATTTGTTTACAAATATTACTAAATATTGTTCAATATTTAAACTTTATTTATTCTTAGAAAAAAAAAAGAAGCTTATTCTTATCGCAATTTTTTTTCGCTTTCTTCCTGAACATTTTTTTTTTACTCAAAATTAAATTCCTTGTAAATGTGTTCTAAGTTAAACTTTTTTTTATAACGCAAGTTAAAGCGCAGAATTAATTTTGGATCCATACAGCGGTAAATAAATGGTATTTGGAAAAAAATACTTTGCTTTCACAACAAAATCGCTAATAAAATAAACTTTTAATAAATAAAGTAAATAATTGATTGTAATTTTTTTATTTGTTTCTCACTACTTTTTTTAAAATGAAAAAATCATTTTCAGTTTCAAAAACCGGAATTAGAAATTAAAGAAATAATAATTTAAAAAAAAAATAACATATTTTATTATATTTAATTCATTTATAGAGATATCAAGAAAAGAAAGAAATTTGTTTAAAAACATTTTTAAAAATGTAATATTAAGTTTAATTATTTAATATTAAAAAAGTGTCATTAGTTTAATGATGTTATTACAGTGTCCTGTAATAGCATCATTAAACCCTTGACATAATTAATCAAGACAATACACAAACAATAAAATTTTTAGAATAACAAATTCATTTTTATAATCAAAATTCATTCAATTCATCTTTTGATTATAAAAACCAAATTATTTAAATTATTATTATTATTATGTTTAACATTAAATTTATTGAAATGAACAACAATGAATCTTTACATTCTAACAAAATTTAATAAACAATTGGACTATCAACATTTTGCATTAATTTGTGGAATCAAATATTTTAATTTGCAGTTGGATAAACTGCATTTTATGTTTGCTGATGAAAATTAAATTCGCAGACCACTTTTTTATGCTCATTAGAAAAATTGTTGAACTTGCAATTAGGCTATACACATTTTTTGTAAGTTAGCATAATGAAATTAAAAATAAAATTGAACCTACTAACATTTTCCATTAATTGGTGTAACTTTATTGGTTTAACTTTATTATTTGCAGTTAGCCAAATCACATTTGTCAGTTGTCAAAATAAAGATACATATATAGTTTTGACATATAAGTGGCAATAAGTGATCAACCAAAATTTTATATGATTTTAAATTTTTATTTAATTTAGAAAAAAGTTATTTTTAAAAATTTCCACAAAATATTTGTGAAAATATAAATGAAATTTTAAGTTAGTAAATAGATGATTATGCTTCATCTGCTTCTTAAAAATATCAAAACTACAAATAATCAAACCATTGCAGTGTGCATAATATTTTGAATCTTAACTGATAACGTTTTGTTTAAAAAAAAAAAAAAAATTGATTTAAATAGTTTAAATAAAAAGTGAACAAGAATAATATTTGGTGAATGTGAGCTTTTAGTCATTTCGATTTTTCTATGGGTAATTTTATTTTTTATTTATGACTGATATATATATATATATATATATATATATATATATATATATATATATATATATGCACAGTTCATAAAAAATGGTACACCACAAGTAATTTTTAGACACACTGTGCTAGTATATTAAAATGAAAATATTTTATAAGGCAATGTCAGCAAAATGTAGCTAAAATACTATTCAAAGGACTTCAGGTCAGCACAAAAGTTTTTTGCTTTCTGTCATGAAAGGGGTAATGATTATTTGATTATAAAAGCATTGCTTTATAAGAACATAGCTTTATACAACAATATTTTAAAGAATGTAGCAATTCAAAGTTATGTAAGTATACAGCAAATTTGTGAATTAGTGATTTTTTTAGTTTTGAAGTTGTTTTTAACGACAACAAAAATCAAAGTTTATTTATTACATTTTTATTGTTTTTTTAGATTAATCATAGAAAGAATGTTGTTTAGAAATACAAATTTAGTTTATGTGCTGTAGGCAAAGATTTTTTTGATAACAAACAGTTTAAAAAAATGACATTTTACATCTGAATATTCTAACCTCAACAGGGAATAAGAATTTAATTCTCCTGCTTGTCCTGTACTTGTTTTCTATTTTTCAATTAAAAAAACACTCTTCAAAATTGTAGTATAGTATGAATTGTAACTTTATGTAAGTAAATGATCTGACCCTTTTTTTCCACAAAGCAGTGGCCTCAGTCCACAGCTATTTAAAATATTTGTTAATAGTTTACCAAATTGTATCGATTGTGAGCAGTCATTTAACCTTTGGACCACATGTTGATAAGTTATTCAAAAAATGTCATGGTACCCAATCTGTGCTTCTCAAATCCGCTCCTTCACTTCCTCTGAAACTTCTATTATTATCATATTTGGCTCTAGTTAGAACTCATCTTGAGTATGGCAGCATATTGCTGACTCTAATAGCAAAGACCCACTTGAAAAAGTTTGATGATGTACAGAAGATTGGTTCTACTCAACAAGACAGTCTTGGTCTGGAGTCAGACGTTACATTTTGCAAGGTCAACTTAGTTGGAAAAATTGCTAACAAGAAATGCCACCCATCTCTTCAAAATCTGTTTGTAATTCTAGAGGACGGGTATTTTTAAACTAGCAAAGTCCAATAAAGCTATTGGTGATAACGGGTTTTTCTGTTTTGCAGCAAACTATCTTAATGAAAGGAAAGGGTTGGAAGGTTTTTCACACAATAACTATCTTAATGAAAGGGGAAAGGGTTGGAAGGTTTTTCACACAATAACTATCATTTCCCCAAATTTTTGAAACTTCTATGTTTTATAGTTAATATATTTTGATTTTACTAACACAATATAGTTGCTCAAGTGTAATTGACTTTAAAGAAGATTAAATAATAATAATAATAATAATAATAATAAAAACATGCAGAGGGAAAAAATAGAAATATAAAAAAAATAATACTAAAAATAGTTGTTTTTCGTATTTATAAACAATGTTACCATGCAATGGTAATTGTTCTCTTAATGACGTATTCATCATCAGAGTTTGCTTTGTGTCACAATTTTTATTTTGAATGGATTTATAATGAAAACCCTAATTTGTATCAACTTTAATATTTTTTAATAAACAAGTTTCTTCTCCACATGTGTTTAACATAACTATAATAAGACTAGACTTTCTGATCTTAAATAATATTTTAAAAACTGTAAATATGTAATACCCCATTCACATTAAAACTACAAATTAACTGCATCCTAATCATGTCTGATTAAAACAACATGACAATGTTGCTTTATTAAATACAGCTTTAAATGCAGCTTTTGTACTTTCTGCGTGGAATTAAAACCAATTCTAAATTTAATGTAAATGAAAAAATATAATGACTTTAAAAAGCTACTTTGAAAACTTGTTTTATTTTTGGTGTGAATGGGTATAAATTAAGGGTTTTAACTAATAAAATAAATTGATATTAGATTTTAAAACTTGATAAAACAATAAACATGCTAAAAATTTGAGTAAAAAAGCACGAGAATATAGAAATTAGAAAAGTAATTTTTATTAATTTTTTAATAAACAGCTTTATAAACTTTTTAACAAATATGCCTTGCTATGCTTGAATAAATTTGAGAAAAAACGAAAATCAATGAATTTTTTGTTTTAAATAAAAGTTGAAACTTAAAAAAACAATTACACTAATTAAGTTATGAACTTATAGATTCAGGTTGGCAGCTGTATGCCAACCTGTATTTTGCAGACTGACCATAATACCTATACCTTACAACTTAATACCTATAGTGCTCCAATGTAAAACCAACCAAGTGAAACACCCACAATGTTAATGTTGGCCAAAAAAAAACTCATACACCAACGTAACACAGGTATACTGACAGCTATTTCACTTTGCTGGCTTAACAAAAACAAATGTGTTGAGCTTTTGAAATAAACAAATTCATTTTTTCTTAAACTTTATTATATAAGGAAGAAAATAAAAAGAAGTACAACTTGAAGTATAAGTTTTATAGAATAAAAACTGTCAAACAGGTGACATCTTATTTTTAAACAGAGTGATGGGTAAAGCAGTTAAAGTGATAGCCAAAAACTGTTGATATAATTCAAAAAATTCTGTATATTTTTACACTTGATAATATATTACAAACTTGATAATATATTACAAATAAAACATTAAAAAAATAAAAAATAAAAAAAAAGTTAAAAACATTATTTTAAATGAGTTTAGTCTAACCTTTTCTTCCATCTTTCGCTCCTTGTGCTAAAGCCAGTCTACCCAATGGCCCAGGTCTTCCAAATGTAACTCCATTATCTTTTGGACCCCAAGAACAACTATAAATATCAATGTGATCTCTATGATATGATAACGCATCAGCTTCAATAAGGTCTGTTGCTTTACCATCTAGCATTCGAATAGCACCTATCTTTGCATTAAAAGCAATTCCAACACCACATATTGAGTTATTAGCTACAGCAGCAACTGTACCAGCACACTTAGTTCCATGAGCATTGTATGGGTCAGTATCGTCTGGGAAAGGATCGTCATCATGTCCATTAATATCTTTGCTAGATTGTTGATCATAGTTATCTTTAAGGTCTGGATGCGTGTGATCCATTCCATCATCTAAAATAGATACTTTAACACCTCGTCCAGTAATTCCTTCTTCCCAAACTTTCAAAACCCTGTCATCAAATGATGATGGACCTGAGGTTTGACCCTTATTATTAATATACCATTGTTTTCCAAACTGAGGATCATCTATGTTAAAAATATTTTTAATTGGCAATCTTTTTTCCCTACTAAGTATTCTTTGCCGTTTAAAATACATGACACGATCCTCATTTTTAATATTGTGTTTATTTTCTAGAATTGTTCTCTTTAAATCATCATCACGAAACTTATCGATTCTATTGTCAGTAGATTCAGAATGTTTTAAATTAGGTTCTTCAAGTAATTCCTCACCTTTCTTAGGTTCACTGTGAGAAAATCTGAAAACTCCACCAGAATTAAAATCTTTATCTTGTAATTCTATCCTTTCCACATGCTGAAAACCGTATTTTTTACCAATTTCTTTAGCTATATTCAAATTATCAGAAGATAGTTGAACAACCCATTCATAAGCATGAGTTTTGGAAGTTTCGTTTTCAAGATCGTCATGTTCTTCATCGATAGGATCACTAAACAAACTAAGTAATTTAATTATTGAACTTTTGAAACCAACATCACGTCGAAGTCTATCGTTAAGTGAACTCGAAACTTCTGCATGCTTGGCAAACGTACGGCTACAGCTTAAATACAACAATACACCAAGAAAAAAAGAACTAAGCGAAATACTCATTTTATGTACGGATTTTTTTTTTATTATTATTATTATTTATTTACTTAAATTTATTAACATTTTCTCTTCCGTTCTCAACTTTAAACGTTAAGACGAGAACATTTATTTTAAAAACTGTTTTTCGGTGTAATTTGGATTATTTATGATTTTCCATATCAGTACTTAACGACAATTCGATTGTTCAAGCAAACAATTGATTTGTTTGTCAAAAAAAGAATAGGAGTTTAAAACGTCACGAATAATTATGCAAACAGTACTTAAACAAAAACTACTAAAACAGCTGCTTTTAAAAAAAAATTAATCTTGTTATAAGGTATTATCGTTCTAAACCTTTTTATAAATAGGGATAAAATATTTTCTAAGAATCCGCGTAAAAAAATAAAGTATATTATGAAGTTTATTGATTTTATTGTAGCGCACTATTTTGAATGGAAAACCTAGTTTTTAGACAATTTTTAAAGAGCTTTGTTTAAAAAATTATTTCTATTTATTTAAGATTAAAAACAGAACATATTCCTGCTTAAGTTAGTAACCCTTCTGACGTAGCAAACTGTATTTTACTACTTTCCTATTTATTTACTAGGACTTTTTTTTTTTTTTAAGGGAATTACACCCCTTTTTGAAAAAAATTTAAAACACAGTTTAATTGAACAACCCATTCAAGATTGTCATGTCCTTCATCGATAGGGTTACTAAACAAACTAAGCCAACACATTTCTCCGCGCAGCGACCTTGTTTGTCAAGGTTCGTGTTTCGAAGATATAGAGTTGAAAGAGCATTGTAACCACAATTTAAGTAGCCTCCTCGACTGTAGTGGCCTTCTCGGCATTGAGAATGTGAAAAGAAAAAAAAAATTACAAGTATTTACAGTAAATGTTGCCAACACAATTAACAATTTTTGTTTATTTTGTTTGTAACAAATTGTTTATTGTGTTTGTAAAAAATTTTTAGTTTTTTAGTATTTATTGATAAATACTAACAAACTAAAAGAAAATTTTAAAAGTGGTGAGGGTTGAGATTAGCGCGTCTACAATAAAAGTCCGAATTATTAACTACCTCAAGCAATAGCTGTAAGCATCAACCGCAAGATTCATCGCAGAAGTTGCACATGACGCATACTATGGGGTTGTCAACGTTGATTCTATACATAATGTACAAAATTGGTTCAGGTCTCTCTGCATTATCATCAAACTTTTACTTTACCTTTCCTTTGATTGAAATTGTTTAGTGCTTTGTTTCAGCCTCATGTTTTTCAGTGAGTCTGGCTATGCATTCTTCTAAAGTAAGACTTTTGTCATATTGGCTTCTTATAGCCTTTTTCTTGCCTCCTCATTTCGCTGATTTTTCCAGAAGTGGTGTTAGTTTCTTTAAAAATGCCCTTTAATGACAGGCCTACCGAAGGTGATGCTTTAAATGTTGTGAGATCAGGTGTTGGTAGGGTCATCATTTCAGGTGAAGTGGAAAATGGTTGCATGTCCTCTTGTGACACAGTTGAGAATTGTTTTTTGGGCACCCACTTCAAAAGTTTCAATTATGTAGCACATTTCCTCAAAATGTGTTGATGGTGAATGATATAAAGCCAGTTTTCAGGAAGGTTGCTTTTATATTTGCAGGACTCATGCAATTCGTAGCAAAAAGCTCTGCAAGCACATCCGGAAACCTTTCTTTAGTTAGAAATGAACCAAAGTTTGATGTGGAATGCATGACCATTGAATATAAAAACTTTAAACCTTTTAGCCAGAATGTTTGTTATAAAATGCTTTGTAGACAAATCAAAAAAGCACTTGCTGTCCATCCAATTTTTTTCTGAAGTATTGAAACTGGATCTGATGAGACCATTTTCATTCCATTTTAAGCAACGGTTTTTAAAAGAAAAAATTAAATTAATCCATCAGCGCGCTGATGGGACAATGCTACCCCCGATTTAATTTTTTCGCGTTGCAGCGCAGCAACACTTAATCACTGCAGTCTGCTTCTTGCTAAATTCTCTAATGACTCTGAGCAAGTTTTTCACCATCTTCACCTTTAAGGTCACTTTTGCCCTGAAAGGGTTTAGCGGAAAGCCTGTCTCATCCTCATTGTAAAAGGCTTCTGGCTTGTTCAGGGGTTGTTTTCTGTGCATATTTTGTAAAGTAACTGGTAGAAATTGGATAAAATTTCATGATTGATTATGGCTTTTAAGTTTTGAATGATCATAATCATACATGTGGTTATTTTAGGGGCTGTCAATGTTAGTCATGGGAGGTCCCAATGATATTTCAATTAGATAGGACATGACTTAATATAGGTAATTGAGGTTAGCTAATTTAAATCTGGGCATATTTGGTCTTCAGGAGTGATGAGAAAACATGATTTGTGAAAAATTAGTTAATAATTTAATTAATTTGTTGTGAATGGGCTACTTAAATCCTCTCCCTTGTGCAGTTGTTACAAAATACTTACTATATAACACACTTTAAAAACAAGTTATAATTATAGTACGTTTGGTACTTTCTTAATCAACTTCCATCTTTTCCTCTTTTTCTAGCTACTCTAATAACCAGTCCCGATTGTACATAAAGAACTTTTCGCTCTTTCTACCAGACTCAATCCAGCCACGGTTCAACCTCTTCAGTCAAATTTTGGAAATTCCTGCCCCAGTCCGGAGTCCTCTAGCTACATGATATTTAACAAAATACCCTTGGTAAACTAGTCAACCTAACCTATGCCGTAAACTTGGAAAATCCGATTCAAAAAAATTATTGTTCTTCATTGTACAAAACATAATGTACAAGAAAAGGGAAAATACACATTTTTGTCCTAAATTTTCTGCGTTTTAGTGTAAAATATTAATATTAGGGTGTATCAAATAATTTTCTGCGTTTTAGTGTAAAATATTAATATTAGGGTGTATCAAATAATTTTTGTCAACAAGTAAAATGCTGTTTTTTAATTTTTTGGGGGGTTATTTAAATTAAAAAACACATTTGACCCATTTAAAGTACAATTCTAAGTGAAAACGGCATTTTAGAAAAGTTATGAGGCGACATTAAAATTAAATGTTCTTTATGATGTAGTTTTCTCACTTTCAACGCAACGAAAAATTAAAAAATTTTTTTTCTCGTAAACAAACTTAATTCTCTTCACTAAATTAAACCTTTCTTTTTGCATAAATAAAAATTCTTAGCTTATATCAATGCAAATAACAACTCTTCTTTTTCATCCATCTTTTTACACATCTTTACCTAAATTTAACACAATACAAACATCCACAATTTACATTATTAAAAAACCGCTTAAAAAAACACAATTTACATTAAAAACCGCTAAAACATAACAAAAATAATTAGTAATAAAAAAAACTATTAAAAGAAAATCACATACTCGTCATAGCTCTCTACAACAAGATTCTTTGAATAACTTATATATATTTGACGTTTTGTCGGCTTTTATATTTTATATATTTGTTTGAGTTGTTTTAATTTTACATCAATTTTATATTATTTTGAAGCATGTTTTTAACTTTTCTAAACTTTATTGTTTTAATTACATATCTATTTCATGGACACTGCCCCTCTCTCCCACTTTTTTTCTAAATGACCTTCTTTTTTTTTGTTTTAGAAATTTCTAATTATAGATGATTTTTTTTAGAAATTGACTATAGTAACCGTCCAACTCAAAACCCGTGTCGTCGGCCCTGAGCTAATAGACATGGAGCAAACTCCAAACGTTTGTATGTTGATACTTATGTCAAATAAAGATGCTTTGCAAAAAAATTGCAATGATTGGAGCCTGAAAACAAAAAATACTCAAAAAATTTTCCCCCCTTGCCCAAACGTGAGAGCAACAAGTTGATAAAATATATGTTGTACTATTCTCAATCAGACTTATATTCATCGATAAAGTTTAAGTTTCATAGAATAATCTCTCAGCGTTCAAAAATTATGACCATATAAAATTTGTAACTTCGTCAAATGGAAAGAGATTCAAACTTGAACAAATGGTCATATTTTTAGAACGCTGAAATATTATACTACAAAATTTATTGATGAATATAATTCTTGTTGTTCACACGTTTGGTGCATGGAGGAGGGACGAAAACTTTAGGGCTTTTTTGTTCCCAGGCTTCAATCACACGAGTAATGTCTAGAGTACAATCCGCTATAATGGAATAATACTTCAGTTTTCTTTGCACGCAATACGGTTTCTGATTTCACTTTCTTACCCATTAGCCTGCGGCGCCCCTTTATATTCGGCGCCTTGAGAAATTTGCCAAACCGTACCCTACCCTAACGCCGCTACTGTTAACAATACTGATCTTGTAAATTCTGAAAACTGTGATAGTAAGGAAAACATGCTAAGGAATACAAAAAAAAACTTTTCAGAAGTAAAATAAACAGAAAAAAAATTACCTTTTAAAATGTTTTGTTCAACAATGGCAACGTTTATTTGTGTGTAATATTTTTTCTTAAGTAAAAAAAAAGCAACTTGGCAGATATAAATGGATGCAAAAGGTAATAAAATAACCAATCAATACTCAGCCATCAGCATTTTTTGATGTCTGAGATAAGTTAAATAAAAAAGTATAAAATATAAAATAGTATTATATAAGTTTGAATGTCTGGAAGTTAAATTCTAGATATCGAACAAGTTTCAAACATTTTTTTTTTAGGTGCCCCAAGAAGACCTAACGGTCTTTTCACAGAGCACCGCGAAAGTACATTTTACCAGGAAGTTCACGCCTCCTTCCTTACCGTGACGCGAAATATGGCCAGAGCTCGTTTCGAACCTGGATCTCCTGCTTTTAAAGCAAGCGCTCTAACCACTGCGCCACGGCCGCATACATTTACACGTTTATACTTATGCCAAATGATTTTGCTTTGCAAAAAGTTACCATATATGTAACCTAGGAACAAAAATACCCTAAAGTTTTGCCAACAACTGCCCCAAACGCGAGAGCAACAAGTTGATAAGTTATTTTTTTACTATTCTCAACTGAATTTATATTCATCAATAAATTTTAAATTTTATACAATAATTTATTAGAGTTCAAAAACTATGATTTTATAAAATTTAAACACCCTTCAATTTTAGGGGTTAATTTATTTTTCAAACCTTTATATATAGCTTTATTCGCAACGTACGGCTATATCGCCGAACAAAAAAGTAGTACAAAACTACATACAGTCATGTGCATGAAAATAGCAGTGGGAGAAAATTATTTATAAAATACATTTAATTTTTTTACTGATGGTTAATTTTGTATATTTTATTCTCTAAATATTTTCTGTTAGGGTTTTTAAATATAAAGAGGTTGGCAATATTGCTGTTTATACATACATGTATCAGAATTTAAATTAAATTATAAAATTTTGCTTTATTAACTGTGCGTTATAATAGCAGTGAATATACACTTTATTTTCTATTAGTGCCTTAAAAGTTGTTTTTACCATCAATTTTTTTTATACATTAAGATAAGTGTTTGTTCATTAAAATTAAACGATATTTTATTAAGTTTCACAATTTTATTACAGTTATAATGGGTAGAGCAAAACATTGTTCCAATGAGAAGCGTCAAATAATTTTAAATATGTTAAAAGATGGTAAAACTTACAAATTCATCCAAGATGCTTTACAATGTTCTGCAAAAATGATTTTCAATGCCAAAAAATGGACACAAAAAGCGGAATTGCGTGGGGGAAAATTTAAAACGTCATTGAAAACGAACCGTAAAATTATTAGATGTGCGAAGATAAACCCTTTTATGAGTTCCACAGCCATAAAAACGGAATTAAATTTACCAATATCGTCCTCGACAGTGAGAAGACGTTTGATAAAAGCCAATTTAAAAGCTAGAAGGCCCAGAAAAACTCCACTTCTAAATAAGAGACAGATTAAAAATCGAATCGCATTTGCTAAAGAGCATCAAGAATGGCCATCATCGAAATGGCGTAATATTCTTTGGAGTTATGAGACTAAAATTGTTTTATTTAATCCAGGTATTCACGAAAAGTTTGTACGAAGACCCCCACGAACAGAATATAATATAAAGTATACCACCAAGACAATAAAACATGGTGGCTGCCAGGTGATGGCATGGGGTTGTTTTTCTTGGTTTGGATTGGGCCCTATTTTTTGGATCAAAGACATCATGGATGCAACTGCTTATGTTAAAATACTGCAAGAAGTCATGTTACCATATGCAAAAGAAGAAATGCCTTTGAAGTAAATTTTTATGCAGGATAATGATCCTAAACACACCTCTCGTAAAGCTAAAAATTGGTTTGTAGAGAATAAGGTTGAGGTAATGAACTGGCCAGCACAATCCCCAGACCTGAACCCGATAGAAAACCTGTGGGGGGATGTTAAAAGAGCAGTATCTTTGTCTAGACCAGCCAATAAAGAGGAACTCTGGAGAGCAGTTGAAGCAGCTTGGAGAGCTATTCCCTTAGAAAGATGTCGTCATCTAATCGAGTCAATGCCACGAAGATGTAAAGCAGTATTGAAAAATAAGAGTCATGGAACTAAGTATTAGATGTATTTTCAAAAGATGAATAAATAGTTTTTCATCAATGTTATATTTTATTTACTTTTTTAATGGTAAATCTGCATTCATTAAATGTGATAAAAGTACCTTTTTAAAAAAATGGTAGTATGATATTGTCCATTTAAGTTTAAAAGCTTTTTTTAGACTAAATAGTGTCAGATAACACTTAATTATGAAAAATTAACAATTACGGTCCGAAATTATGCATATCATTAAATATAATAAGGTTTTTTTATAATTTTTTGTGCCACTGCTATTTTCATGCACATGACTGTATGTCAAAACCTCTATATCAAATTAAACACAGAAAAAACCAAGTTTATTATCTCCGGTAAAAATTTAGTTACAAAAAACATAATACAAATTAACGGTTTTTCCCTTAAACTCAATAATAAACTGAAACACCTTGGATTCCTATGGAAAAATCAGGGCCATGGACAAAATACAGCTACAATCCAATCAGCAAATGTAAACGAAAGAATTATTCAATTTCAATCAATCTCCAGAGCTCTTATAAAATCTGGAATTTGTTTTTGTCAACCATTAACTATAGTGTATTTGTTCAAATCTCTGGCTATACCAAATCTATCAAACAGATTAGAAGTTTGTGATTATAACAATACTTTTCTTATTAAATTATACGCTGTTGGATGATCAGCATTAAAATTTCCCTTTAATATTTCAAAACACAGCGAAATCTGCATTTCTACTATAAAGTTGATGACGTATTTACCAACCTCGTTCGAAACAACTTGAATCTGTTTATCAGATTATTGAGCTATCCGACTTTTTTCCTTGGTTTTAACTCAAATATCTGATGTAAATAAGGATAAATGCTTTTTCAACGAAGTAATAAAAACTTGCAACCGCCTCACAGTGGTCAACTGAGCTATGAAATGGCGAAAAAATTATTTCTAGGAACTTTTTCAGTCATTTGGTTAAAAATAGTTAAAATTAGAAAAAAAATTTTTTTTAACACAAAATAAAAATAAATAAAAAATAGCAGTAATATGACAAAAAATATTAAAAGTTTCATCAAAGACATATGTTTACTATAGCTTAGTCAACTTGAAAGTACTTTTAAATAATAAAATTAAATAACTACACTAAAAACTGAATGTCATTTACAAATTTCTTCAAAAACTATAGTCAGTAAGACTCAAAGGTCATTTTCAGAATCCTCAACTACGCCATCAAGGCTTTGTTGACAATCTCTTCAGACTGATTTAGTAGTTTGAGGACCATAAACCCCAATTTTGCACACCGCAGCCCAAATCCCTATATACCCCATTTCGCCTATTTTCTAGAAATACAAACTCGCGGACGCAAAGGACGCTCAACGTCGGAATAGGGGTTTGACAAGAGAGCCTACCCACCTTCTTAGATGTTTTGAGGATCGGCAAACGGCAATATATCCTATTGAAAAGTATGCATTTTTTTTTCGACATAAACAACATCTCAAAAATGTATTTACTGCATTTTCCGTAACAAAAAAAGTCATAAATATACACAAATAAATATAAATATTTAATAATAATAATAATAATAATAATAATAATAATAATAATAATAATAATAATAATAATAATAATAATAATAATAATAATAATAATAATAGTAATAATAACAATACTAACGTATGAGTGTATTACATTTTTATTAACACAAAATGTTATCTGTTTAAAAATAAGTTCAATAAAATGATAAAAATGATTATGCAGAATAAAATTGATATAAAATCTTTTTGATTTTTTATAATCTGTGACTATACGATATAATATTTATTATTTATTTATAGAGTAACAAAATAATAATTGCATAAAAATACACGATACTATACAATATAGTAATAAATTACTATTATATAATAGTGTATTGACAGTATTCGTTAAATGTAAGGCTGTCAATGATAATAAAAAAGTGTTTTTTTTTTAGTTATTTAAATGATCATTTATATAACTAAAAAAAAAATTATTTGTCAAGGTTCATTTGAACATATACAATATGTTCTGCAAAGCTTGTTTATTAAGCGCATTTTTCCACAACATCACTACTCTGTTTTATAAACAATACTCTAAAGTTAGTAAATAATAATATTGTATTAGGTAGTAGGCTATTCAGTTAGTTGCTGCATTAATACTTGTTAGTTTTTGGCCCTTACTTGCCAGGAGATTGAACTTATTTTGGTGTTACTAAACCGTGACCAAAATAGAAATAAAAAAATGACCATGGCCCATGATCTTTTTTTGGTCATTTCAAAAAAATCTATGGTATGAATTATATACTTTATAAAAAAAAACAATACAATATAAAATAAATCCTTTTTTTCAGTTTTAAAACATATAGTTAAAATATAAAAGTTGATTTTGTTCTAAATCTAATGTTAAAAGTCCATTTGAGCTAACTCAATATAGTTTTTCTATCAAGGTTTTATACATTATGATAATAACTAAATTTATGATAATAAACGATAATAGTAGTTTATGATGATTTAGTTTATGTTTATCAGTTTTTTTAAATATTATTAATACTAAATTGTCTGTAGGTTAATGAAAAATTGATACAACTTATGTCTATTTTGGTTGTGCCTGAACCTTTTGGCTACCATGAATCTGCAGCTGATAGTTAAAGTACATAAATCATTTATATTTGAGTTATATTTAAGAAGCAAAACAATCATTTAGAGGCAAGTATGTATTCAATTAAAAAAATTAATAAAGTAGTGCAGTGCTAATAAATTGAGTTAATTTAAAAATATTTAATCAAATTATTTTTTAGCTCTTAAAACAATGATTGAGTTACAAATGATAGAGGAAAATTCTAGAAATCAAAAAATGTTTTCATGCATTTTTTGTTGTGAGTTCAAAGAATTCTCTAAAGTCAGTATGGATGTAGATGGAAATACTCAAATTAATGAATTTTACAAAATGGTTGCTTTTAAACACAAACTTGAAAATGGAACATTTCAAATTTCTTACTTGACAGAAAATATAGAGAAAATCTTGATTGAGGATTGCACAGATACTATAAGCTATTTTCTAAGCGATAATAACAAAGCATATGAATTCTTTATAAAAAGCAAAGATGGGTCGTATCCTTTAAAAACAAAAAAAACAACAGATGCAGTTGAAAAAGTATGTATAAAAAATATGTCATCATTTATAGTATATTATTAATTATATTGTTATAATACTTATATAAAATCACAATAAGCTAAACAGGTATTTTTTATCAAGTCATCGTCACATTTTTTTCAAGTTATTGTCACATTACTACATTTAAACCATATTTTAAATGGCACGGTTTATCAATCAGTTTATTTTTAGTTAGGAAAAAGGTAAAAAAAAATTTATTAATTGAAGAAGTTGTTAAAGATCCTAAAGATAAAAAAGATTTAGATTTTTGTCTTCAAATATATTTTAATTGCTATATTAAAGTAAAGAGAAAAAAATATTAGGTAAAATATATAAAGCTTTAAAAATAACAGTACCAGCCTTCGAATTAAGGTTGACAAACTAATGCTAAAAAAAAATATTAGGTAAAATATGTCTAGCATTAAAAATTACAGTACCAGCCTTCGAAACAAACTAATGCTAAAAAAAATATTAGGTAAAATTTATAAAGTTTTAAAAATTACAGTACCAGCCTTTGAATTAAGGTTGACAAATTAATGATAAACTAAATGTGTCTGAGATGTGATTTTTTGCCTACCTTTTTTTTATGTTGTTATTATAAAATTTTTGTGTTAAAAATTTTGTGCAAACCTGATGGCATTCAAATAGTTTTAGGTTAGCAATAAATTGTGAATTTTTTCAGCAATTTTTAGAAATTAGTTGTGATTTTTTTTTTTCTTATTCTGAGTGCTGCATTACAAATCTTAATGTTGACAACAGAGAGTGAAACTTGAAAATACTGACTGATGCTTTAGTGCTTTCTATTTAGGCAAAAAAAAAAAAAAAAACAACAACAATAAAAAAATCTAAAGATTATATCGTTGGTATACAAGGGAAATGCACTTAATTATGACACTAAAGTCCCAAAACATCTTTTTGAGATCAATAAATAAGTAAACAAATAAGTTTTTGCATAATAAGATATATATGTAATAATAAGATTTTGTGCAATAGTTGAAATAACTCATTAATAATTGATTAAATTTGTGTGGTATTTCAAACAATGGTATAAATAACTCCATACTGCCAAAAATGGACTTTTTGGCAGTATGAGTGCATTTTCCTTGTATACAATATAAAAGATAAATTAGTAAGCATGTTTTTTTGATTAGCTAAAAAACTAAAACTTAAAATATGTTCATACGAAATTTTTTAAAAGTATTGCTGCTTAAATGCAGCAATAATTTTTTTGAATGAAAAACCTCAAATTGATAATAGGAAAAAACCTGGAAAAATATTTTTTTTACCTGAAAAACTTAGAGATTCAGCAAAAGTTTTATGGAGGAATTCTAATATATAAGTCTAATTTAAAAAAAAACTGTTTGATATTTATATTTGTTATCTTTTTTATTAAGACAAATACCTGTCTATTAAGTTTACTTTTATCAATTTTTTTCTAATATATATATATATATATATATATATATATATATATATATATATATATATATATATATATATATATATATGTATTTATATATATATATATATGTATATATATATATATATATATATTTATATATATATATATATATATATATATATATATATATATATATATATATATATATATATATATATATATATATATATATATATATACACACATATATATATACATATATATATTTTTTAATTTTGTTATTTAGGTGCGCCAAGAAGGCCTAACGGTCTTGTCACCGCAGAAGTGCATTTAACCAGGAAGTTCACGCCTCCTTCCTTACTGTGGCGCGAAAATATTTCCATAGCTCGTTTTGAATCTGGATCTCCTGCTTATAAAGCAAGCGCTGTAACCAGGGTTGGCAAAAAAACCCAACCCAAAAAAACCCACCTTAAAAAAAACCCAATAAAACCCAAAAAAAACCAAAATATATTTGGGTTTTTTTAAAAATGTCCTATTTTACAACTGATAACTTTGATTTTAACACTTATAAATGCTTTATTATCAGCAAGTGCAACCTTTATACTGTAATTACTCTTGTTAAACACTGTATTTATATACATAATGGTATTTAGAATATACCCAAAACCGATCAATCTGTTTTTGTAGCAAGTTGGTTATTTATTATTATTTTTAAACATTTAGCAAGTTATTATAAATATTATTAAAATATGTATTAAAACATTAAATTAGTTAAATACTTATAAAGGAAATAAAAATCATTCTATTAACTAAATTTCAAGACATTACTAGTTATTTAGTATCTTTATTCTCCTCTCGAATGTCTATATTCCTTTATATTGGTATTTGCTCTTTTATTTTTTAAAGCTTATGTTGTAAACTGCAAATTTCAGTAGAAAGCCACAAGTAAAATACTATATATAAAAATTATTAAACTTTATTTACAGTTTAGAAATGGAAAGTTGTCAGGCAAAAAAAAAAATGCTACAGTTTACCAGATTTGTCCTTAAGTACATACAACTTTAAAACTTAAAAAAAATTAAGTTATGTGCAAGCAAGTTTGCAACATGTTTGCTCATTCAATGAGAGAACATTTTGAAAACTTGTATGCATTTCACAAAGACAAGATTTGTTTGGTAAAAATGACACTCGTGCTCATCTGTCTTTTGATAGGTTTTGAATATTTTGCATCAGCTACAAGTTTACAACATGTACCACCAACAAGGGTGACTATGAACAGCGGGTTGAAAATTAACATCAGTATCAAGTTGTTAAAAGGTGAAGAAACACACACAATAGAGCTGTATAATGTGTTACTTTGATTCAGTTTGCAATTTGCATTGCATTTGCCAGTCCAGTTGATCAGGTGGATAACTTTTTCAGGAAGCTGGGCAGTATAATGTTCTGATAAAAAAAAATGTAGTGATTAGGCTAGCAGTTTTCTTCTATGATACAAAAATGTTTAAAAAGTGTTCATAGTCTTGATTCATAATAACTTATAAGGTTGCAACATCATGTTGCAAACTTGTTGATTACATGTTGTAAACTTGTGCAAAATAGTTTTTGAAATGATATGTTGAACATGTTAAAAAAAAACTAGTTTGCAACATTTATATTGTCTTACCAACTTTGAGTAACTCAATTGTCATAATAATTTTTATACTAATTTTTTTTAGTCAAAAATATTCTGAACATATTTTTAATATAGTGCAATTAATTAACATCATTTATAGTTGATGGAGTCCCTTTTTGCACTATAGGTAAAATGTGCTAGTAGACTAGTAGTAAAACATTTGGCTCGCAACCAGAAGGTTGGGGTTCAAATTACCTCTGCTGAAATTACTGTGCTCAATCTATTTCTCCGCACAGCGCCTTTGTTTAAAAATTTTAGTTGTTAATGTTGTTTGTTAGTAAAAATGGTAATGTTAAGGTTTGAGACAAAATATTTTTAAAAAATGAGTTGCTCCCTTGACTGAAGTGGTCATTGGAGCAATAGGAAGGTGAATTTATGAAATTAAAAAAAAAATTATTGTACTCATACAATTATAAAAATTTGGTATTTTGATCGGTTTTTAAAAAAACCCAAAAAACCCATAAAACCCAAAAAAACCCAATAAAACCCAAAAAAAACCATTTGGGTTGGGTTTTTTTAAAAAACCCTGGGTTTTTTCCAACCCTTGCTGTAACCACTGCGCCACGGCCGTTCGTAAATATATATATATATATATATCAGGCCTTCTTGTAAGAGGCGTGCGATCGGACGCTTTATATGAGCATGCATATAGTTATTTGTTTTAACAATTTGACCACGGTTCTTTGCAAGTTTCGATAATTAGTGCATTTAAAAAATGCGCTAAAAGAAAACAAAGCAAAGGTAAATGCAATTTTTAATTTAATTGATTCCATAATTACAATTAAACTGCCACAAAATTTCTCGAGTGCTTTAAACTTTTAATGTAATTGTTAAAAGCAGAAAAGAAACCAAGCTTAAACATTATGATCGCTTTCTTCAATAAAAGAAAGCAATCAAATTGTTCAAGGACGGTTTCTTTTGAAGTTTTTGCAAAAGCATCTATTTTAAGTAAATTTATGATATTTTTGTGAGCGCATGCAAAAACCATGCTAAAACATAATTACTTTTTTCTATTTATTTTACTTAAAAGTGATGCTATTAAAAAAAGTAATTATAAAAATCCTTATCAAACGGTAACTTTTGCATAAGCAAAATTGAAGAAACGTGATGTTTGTTTTTCTGTCTGTCTTAAAGAAATGCGCGCACATTTGTTGATTTGTTGCACCCTGTATCCTATCGACTTTTTAATAAAATTTTAATAAATTTCATGACCCTTTCCCTCACTATGGATTTGCCCTTGTATTAGCCTATTTATTCATGGGAAAGAATGATAAAGATTATTAGAGCTGTGATTTTTTTCACTTTTGCTGCCAATTAAGTTTAAATTAATTAATACGTGTTTTGATTTTTCTTCTGGTTTTTCCTTTATTTATTTTATCATTCTTTAAATATTTTACTTTTTTAGGTTAATTTTTGTTATATATATTGTTTTAAGGATTTTATTCTCTTTTCAGTTTATGGATTGTTTATTTTAATTTGCTTTGTTTTTTTTTAGCACAATTTTTAAATGCACTAATTATCAAAACTTGCAATGAGCCGTGGTCAAGTTGTAAAAACAAAGAACTATATGCTTTTCATATAAGGCATGCGATCGCACGACTCTTACGAGAAGGCCTGTATATATATATATATATATATATATATATATATATATATATATATATATATATATATATATATATATATATATATATATATATATATATATATATATATATATATATATATATATATATATATATATTAAACTAGTTCATTCCAAACAAGGTTGCAAGCAACCAGTATTAATTTAGGAGTTACTAGAATAGTGTTAAAGAGTAAGGAATTATTTGGCAGAAGAACATTTGAAAAGTTGTAGGTTGTATAAGTCCAAAGGGTTGAAGTACAAGAAAAAAAACTAGACAAATAAAAGTTTTTAAAGTATGCAGGGACAGATACAGTAAAAAAAGAGACTTTGCTGAATGACAGGTCAAGTGAGAATGAGTTTTAGTAAATGGAACTAGAGATGATAGCTCCTTTGAGCAGCAACCATGATAGAATTTGCAGAAAAAAGAATAAGATGCAATCTTACAACAATATCAAAGTGGCTAAACTTGGCAGATAAAGCCAACTATGTTTACAATGCGTTTTTGGATCTTGTCTAGAAGAAAAAGTGCATAATTATAAGAACCAGCCCAAATATGACAACAGTATTCCATCAAAGACGGAAAAAAGATTTATAGAGGTAGAGAATGACAAGAATGGTAAAGATAAGCAACCTTAGAAGGCAACTAATTAATTGCAAGTAATTGTTTATATGTTTTCTATACTAAGTCAGTGTGGTCGATAATCCAAGAAGACTTAAAGTAGAGGATTCCGTGAGAGTGATGCCATTCATCAATATAGTAATGTCTACGAAAATGCAATAGTTATTGGCTGCCTGTACTAAGCATTTGATAAGAGAAGGCTTTTTGTCAAGACAGAAGTATAAAGTTGAGTTATCAAAAAATAGAGCCATTTTAGATTTAGAAGATTGTCAGGAAGATTATGTAGATAAAATCATGGATAGAACCTTGAGGTACCATAGAAGTTATTTGAAATAAAGACAAGTGTTGGTCTTCGAAGATAGTTTGAATACTGAGGTTAGAAAGTAATGATTTGATAATCTTAAATTTTTTTTCAGAGAAACCATATGAAGCAATCTTGTGGAGAAGTCCAGCATGCCAAACATTATAAAAAGTTTTTAATATCTCATGAGTAATAGCCTTGCCACCTCCATCTAATACATGATAGAATCTTTAAGTTACAGCAGTTAGCAAGTCAGCCATAGAACACAAAGATCAAAATCTGTATTGGATGTCATTAAATAGTTATTAGACTCAAGATAGAATGTTAGAAGTTTGACAACAATTGACAGGCGATTTAAAATATTGCAAATTATATGAATCAGGAAAGCAAGCGAATTCCAAAGAACTGATGTTCAAGGAAAAAAACTGGACAAACAAGAGTTTTTTGAGCACTTAGAACAGTCACAGAAAAAGGATGAGACTTAATTGAAGGATAAGTAACATGAAAATGAATTTTAGTAGATGGCAAAAGGACACTAGCTCTTTAGAGCAGTGCCTATTACAGTATTTGTTGAAAAAAGAAAGAGAAGCAACATTGCGACAATGTGATAAAAGAGATTGGCTGTAAGAGAACAAAGGGTTTTAAGTCTAAAAGCAATTGCTTCAAATCAGAACATTTTTTTAAAATAAATGTAAATAAGGTTTCCTTTTTTTGTTTATTTGTATTTGTTTGTTAGTTTAAAAAATGACTATTTATTGTTTTTGTTGTTTATAAGAAAATATTTTAATTGTTTTAAGTATATCTAGTTATATGGATCCATACACCAATTCAATTATTTATCTTACCTTTAAAAATTTAGGTTAATGATAACAAGATATCCAAGTTACTGAGCTTGTCACTTACTTAACTTTGCCACTGCTTTATTTTTTTCTCAATATTTTAATTCATAATTTTTTTTTTTATTAACCAATTTATACTTTTTTAAAAAAGTGATAAAAATATATTTTTTTAATTAACTAATTTATACTTTTTTAAAGTGATTAAAAATTTTTTTTAGTAATCATATAACAATTTTTTCAAATAATAACATAAACAACTATGATATTATAGAATGGAAAAGCAAAGAGTGATCAGTTTGGCTCTTTATACAATTCTTCTAACTCTTTAAAATCAGATACAGGTAAATCTTTTGTTTCACAACTTTGCTATTTTTTTAAAAACAAACATTTAAAAAATTGTTATCTTGATTATTGACTGGTTTTTGAGGGATGCATACTGAAAATATTTTAGATCGATAAGAATTTGGCTTTTTATTTATTAATGATATAAGAAATCTTTGATAAAAAATTTGTTAAATTTTCTATCAAAGATTTTTATATTATTAATAATTTATAAGCTTTTCTCTAAAAACATTGAATTAAGCCCTGAAACTTAAGTTACAGGTTTATTTGAAACAGCAGTTTCTAACTTTGTCTAAAAACAAACAAGACTAGAACATTTGCAAGCACTGTTGACGTTGTTGAATACAAATGTGTTATTTATAAAATACAGAATGCAAAATATATAACGTGTTTTTCAGGTGACATTTTTTTAGATGTTATTTCATTTAATTTCTTTGCTATTTTATTATTTCATTTAGTTTCTATGCTAATGTTTATCAAACTAAGGTTAAGGAACATTGTTAAGAAGATTGTAAAATTATTCTGACTTTTAAGAGTATTTTCTTTTTAGGATTTGTTGGTCTCATTAATCAAGCGATGACATGTTACTTAAATAGTCTTTTGCAGACCCTTTTTATGACTCCGGAGTTTCGAAATGCTTTATATAAGTAAGTTTTTAATTTACATCAATTATCAAACCAAGAGCAATTAAATCAATATGTATTTATTACTTAAGTAATAAAATTTATTAAATTTTTTTTTAATTTATAAGGAACTAAAAAATATTTTTATTATAGATGCAATTATGAAGGTCTTATTGCTAATTCAGTTGCAAACATTCCATTTCAACTCCAAAAACTCTTTCTTCAATTAGAGGTTTTATTTTATTAAAAAAATTTTTTTTTAATTAATTTTAATCTAAATTGTGTCTTTAGAAAACAATTTTTCTAATAGTATCTGAGGGCGGCGATTTTTTTCCAACATTGCTTCTGTTTTTATTGTGAAACTTTAGTACTAAAAATTTTGTAGCAACCTTATGCTGTCCTTATTTTTTTAATTCTAAGGAATATATATATATATATATATATATATATATATATATATATATATATATATATATATATATATATATATATATATATATATATATATATATATATATATATATACATATATATATATATATATATATATATATATATATATATATATATATATATATATATATATTTATATATAAATATATATTTATATATATATATTTATACATTTAGAAAAATATTTTATCAAACCTAATTGAAAATTGTTTTCTAATTAATAACAAACGGCATAGCATTTTTACCAGGAATACAGTAATAGTGTACAATGTATAATGGAATAGTGTACATACAACTATATACACACACACATATTATATATATATATATATATATATATATATATATATATATATATATATATATATATATATATATATATATATATATATATATATATATATATATATATATATATATATATATATATATATATAAAATATATAATATATATATTAAAAAATTTTGCCAGCTAAAATGATGATAAATCAGGCCAAAAAACATGTCTATTATAATGTGATTTAGTAAGAGACGTAAAAGACGTTTTTATAAAGACTCTTTAACTTTAATTTTATTAAAGTGTGTGGAGCCACAGAAATATAGGCTGATTTTTTGTCATACCTGCAAATAGCTTGTCAAATCAAGGGTTTTTTTAGCAAACTTATTATGTTTTGTGTATTTAAATTTCTTATCTGCTTTTCTTCTATATTTGGCATTATAAAAGACAGTGCCAGGTATTTGCTGATGATCCTAATTCATATAACCTTCATCATCTTCAATAATTCAGAAATTTTCAGAATATAATTGTCATACAATTTTCTTCAGCATATTCTTGCATATTTTTTTTAATTTCAAAGCAGTTTTTTGATTTGAAAGCTTAAAAAACATGTTTATTTTGAGCTTTTACAACAAAACTATGAGAAAATCTTCATATTTTTGCAGGTTTTTTTTAGTGAGAAGCTTTAGGATTATTCATAAAACTGTTATCTAACTAGTTTTATATTTTAAAAAACCTTATTTCCATTACCAGATTTGCTATTGATCAATTTTGTTTGGGAAAAATGTTAAATAACATGACCAATGGTGTAGGGATGTATTTGCAACTTTTTTGCTACTGAATTGTAGCTTCTATTCAGATTTTATTTAGATATTCAGATTTTCCATAATATTTGTGCAAAATATTTTTTCTAGTGTCTTCTTTTGTCATTAAAAACTTATTTTAAGTTAAATGGAAAAACTAAATTATTTTTTTGAAATTGTTACATTTTATTAACAAAATGAAAACACAATTAAAAGTATATTAATACAACCACTAAAAAAAACAATGTATTTACTCATTCCATTTATTTCTTGTACACGCTTTGTTCTTAATAGAAATTTATTTCATAATAATGTATCAGATTTTATTATAGACAAGTCACAAAAGAGCTGTAGAAACTACTGAGTTGACCAAAAGTTTTGGGTGGGACAGTAATGAAGGTATATCTTTTGTCGTGAAGTAAAGAGAAAGTATATTAAAAATAGTAAATAAAGATTAAATTGATAAGAGTGTAAATAAATAAAATTCATTTAATTATTTAAAGTTTAAGTCTTATATTTTAATTATTTAAAGTTTTACGTTTTAGATATTTAAAGTTGTTTTCATTTGTTCTTTAAATAATAATTAACTAGCTGTAATAACCCGATCTTTTCTATTCTTAATCCTTACTTCAATATTTTTTATTAAAAGGTAGAAAAACAACTATATACATAAAGAAAATCTATACTTATTGTTTACTTTTTAAAACTATAAAAAAAAAAAATTTCTATAATAATTAAGTTTAAAAAACTTTAAATGTTTTGGTAGATGTTGCTATTTATCAAAGGATAGGATATTTGTACCAGTCTAAATAATATTTAGAATACCTGCTTGAAATGTGTTAATTATCATCGGTTAAAAAAGTTTTAAAAAACTGACTTTAATATGTGAAATAACGGACTTATGATGACTGGTATAATACTGATCCTAGTAAGTCTATTCCACACTGACCATAATTTCGCTTTATTTTAATAATTTTTAAAAAAGAGCAAAATATAAAAATCTTTGTTTTGAGTTTAATGTTCAATACTTTATAACTTAACTTATTAAACATTAATCGCTCAAAACAACTTCTGAGTTGTTTTGAGCAATTAATGTTCAATACTTTATAACTTCTGTAAATTTCTATAATAATAATTAAAAAAAAAAGAAAACGGGGATAGACTTTATTACTTATTAGGACTTATTAGCTTATTAGGACACTTTCCCCGTTAATTTTAAAGAAAAATCCTTTTTCTATAAGAAAGAAAGTTGTCTCTTTAATGCACAGACATTAATAACTTAAGTATCTCTATCATGTCATATATGCAACAAATTTTTAACATTGTTTTCATGTTTTTAGAAATTTTTAAAAGCTTTTTATTATTTTTAGAAATGTTAAAAAAATTTTTTAAAAATTCTCTTCTCTCCATTTGTTATAGTATATAATCAGGCTTGGTCGGGAAGCGGGAGCGATCGCTCTCGAATACTGACCACGGAAATTATATTTAGTTGCGTAAAACTGGCCAGGTTTTTTAGTCGTTTTGAGAACATTTAAGTTTATTTATGAAACAAATAATTTTTGTTTTACGGACATACATGGAAACATAAAAAACTTGAATGTTCCCAAAACATCATTGTGCGCAAGAATAAAAAGAATATTTGCGAGCACTAAAAACCTGCCAAATTAACGAACAAACTAATTCTATTAGTTCAAAAAATACGCTGATTAAGCGAAATAAAGTTCTAAAGTATTCTGTTGAAATGTTTTAGAATTTGTATTATTCACGATTTGTAACGTTTTGAGATTTCTAGAATTGTTTTATATATATTATTTGTTTATATATTATTTATTATATTATTTATTATATAATATATATTATTTGTTTACAAAAATAAATGTTTTAAATTTATATTAATTAAATTGTTAAAATTTTAAAAGTTTATTATAAATTATAGATTTTATTAGTATATTCTTATTTTTTATTTAAAAAGTATGTAATCTTTATGTAAATCTCACTAAACATTATCAGCGATATCGTGAAGCAGTTTCGCTTCCTGGTCATTAAGTATTTTTAACCTTTTTAGTTGATATCTATCTTGATTCCTATAGTAATTCAATGATTTAATTATTTCATTTGTTTATCTTACTAAGAAGAATCGCTTCAAATATGTTAAACTTTTCAAACTACGCAAAACATAAAATAGGTATTGAAAAAATTAACTTTTTTATTTATTAAACAATTTAGCTCAAGTAAAACTAAAACTTGCAAACTTAGTTATATAAAGGATATTTGTTTCTCTTTTATCGTAATCGTAAGTTGTTAATTTTATAAAAAAATTATAAAAGAGCGATGTTTCGAAAATATTTGTTCTAAATGTAATTTATTTAGCTTTAAGTTTTTTCGCGTTAGAAGATATTTTATTTGCCTATTTTTTTTTTTTTTTTTGTAATTGTCTCTCATCGGTCCAATTAATCTTTGTCGTTTTTTTTTTTTTTTTGCTTTTTAAAATATTCTCAAAACGACTAAAAAATCTGGCCAGCTTTTCGCAAATAAATATTATTTACGTGGTCAGCAATCAAGAGCGATTGCTCCCGCTTCCCGACCAAGCCTGTATAATATCTTTAGACATGTTATGCATATAATATCTATAGGCCTTAAAAATGTTTTACTTTGTCTTCTAGAATTGAAAAAGGTTTAAAAAAAAATTAGGCTTGTAAACGAAAAGATTTGAAACCACACAAAGCACTTCAACCACTTTGGGATAAATGCTATAAATCAAAACTAAGGAGATATTGCCGCCTAGAAATTTTTAAATAAAAGTAAATTTGTAAAGTTTGATATAATTTTTAATAATCTACATAACTTGAAGTTTACATGTTACAGGGTGTCTGCCAATAATTTAAGGTGGATTTCCCTGATTTTTTCCTGATCCAATTGTTTTCCCTGATTTAATTTAAAGTTACTAAAACTCAATTTCAGAAAAACCAGACTTCGATTCTTCTGAAAAAAACCTCTTTTATTGCAAAAAAAAAATTATACCACATTTGAAGTATTAAGATAAGTTTTTAAAACTATTTGCTAAATAAAATTTTATATTACATGTACAATATAAAACTTACTTAAATTACGTAGGTCTGATGAAGAGCCATTTTCACTTATTTCTTCCTGATTTTTCCAAAATTTAACCCAAGTTCTCTGATTATTCCCTGATTTTTTTGCAGATTTTCAAATTCCCTGATTTTTCTGTGATCTGGCAGACACCCTGTGTTAGGTATTTGCATAGACTTTTGTTCACATAGATAAAATACCAAATAATATCATGGTTGTTGCTCAAAGGAGCCATTATCTCTAGTTCAATCAACTAAAGCTCATTCTTGCTTGACTTAGCATTCTGTCATTCAGCAAAGTCTCATTCATTTACTGTATCTGTCCCTACATGGTCTAAAAACTTTTATTTTTCTAGTGTTTTCCCCCACACTTTAAAACCCTTTAAAACTCTTTCATCATCTGACTCATACAACTTACAACTTTTCAAGTCTTCTGTCAACTGTTTCTTTGCTCTATAACTCTATTCTTTTTTTCTTTAGTAACTCACAACAGTGGTTGCTTGCAGCCTTGTTTTTCGTACCGGCCTACTAGAAGTAAGATGGGGTAAATTTATAAAATTAACTAAAGCCATGTGTTAAATAATATCCAAATAAATCTTTCCAATATATCATCGCTATGTAATAAGAATAAAAATAAAAAGAATAGAAGTCAATATATCTATATAAAAATTGAAATTCACAATGTTGATTAATTAAGAAATATCAATGAATAACATCAAAGCCCTTTTAGATGCACAAAAAAATGAAATCCTAAAAGCAATAAACACAAGTCTTTCTAAAATAACTAACAATATAGCTGAACTAAAAATAACATATACTAATATCAAATCAACAGTACAAAAAAATACTGATGATATTAATGAGCTGCTTGATCTGACCTCAGTTAATAAAACATTTTCGGAAGACATTATTAAGCTTATTATTTTTTTAAGACATTATTAAGCTATTATTATTTTGTCAATATAAGCTTAGTGCTGCATTAGACAAACAGAAATTTAAGGAAGACACTGATTTTTAAAAACATGCCTGTTGACACAAACAAATCAAAGGAATCCTGGTCTGATACCAAACTAATTATTGCAGATTCCATCGCAAAAGCAGCTAACATAGACCCAAAAAATGCCCATGAAGATGATTGAATGCTGTCATCGAGGAAAAGTTTCAAAAAACATGAGATGACTATAATATGTGAAATAACAACTTTAAAAGCAGCTAACATAGACCCAAAAAATGCCCATGACATGATTGATAGCTGTCATTGAGGAAAAGTTCACGAAAACAGCACCAAGTTAAGCCACATTTTTCCTAAATTTCATAAATGGGCTGATAGTGAACATAAAAAAATATCTTTTTCAAGTCTAAAAACAATGTTTGGGTTGAACAAATGTATTCGCCATCACTAACTCAATGCCGCAATGAGGCCATGAAAGAACATTGTTGTCTTATAGAAAATAAGTCAATAGTAAGTGGGTACCTTGAATATCCAGCCCTACTTAAAGTTAAGAAGAAGAAAGAAGATTTCAGGTATGTTTTACTCAAATCTTTTTGAGTCAGCATAAATCGCTTATGGCTTTGGAGTTCGAGCAATGGTATCCTTAGATTTGCACATTTTTTTTTTGTTTTGTTATTATTTTGATTTGCGGCATTATATTTGAATTTTATTCAAGCTTTATATTATATAAAAGTTTAGCTATATAATAATAGTTGCACTTTTTGTTATGTTTATTTTTATTTCTACTTTTTACTTTGTTTTTTTTTTTTTTTTATTCCTTGAAATATTTTTTTTTTCTTTTTTATTTAAAAAAAAAAAAAGTAACAATAAAGAAAGCTTGACGCATTTATAAATAGCTTGAAAACCGCAAGTTTTATAATTTTTATTGTTTGTTTTTATAATTTTTGCGTTTTCTGTATTGTTCAGTACTTTTTTATATTTTTCTTTTTATTTAATTTTTTCTGTATTTTATTTAATTTTTTCTTTATTTTATTTATTTATTTTTTTTATTTTATTTAATTTTTTCTTTATTTTATTTTATTTTTTCTTTATTTTATTTAATTTTTTCTTTATTTTATTTAATTTTTTTTTAATTTTATTTAATTTTTTCTTTATTTTATTTAATTCTTGATTTGTTTCGAATAATAGCTACTAATATTTCTCTTAAGTTAAATACTATAAAACACAGCAAGGCATATTAATTGTTTTACTGTTAATATTTAGCACATTTATATATACATATATATATATATATATATATATATATATATATATATATATATATATATATATATATATATATATATATATATATATATATATATATATATATATATATATATATATATATATATATATATATATATATATATATACTGTTTTTGTTTATTATTATTATTTTTTTTTTAATTTTTTACCTTTTTGATTATCATTTTTACTTTAATCTGTTTCTTGATTTTTAATAGGTTTTAGTTACTTACATATAAATGTTCTTACTTATTATATATTAATAACAGGCTGGCCTATAAATAGAAATCTCCACATCTATAAATCAAAAGAATTAGAATCTATATTTGTTGAAAATATCAATCCAAAAAAATAAAGTATTATCATTGGTTGTGTTTTTAGGCATCCTAAAATGTCTTTAGACAATTTCCTATCCTTCTATCTTAATCTGTTCTCAAAAACTTAACATAAGAAAAAAAAGCTGTATTTATTTTAGGCATTTTCAACATTTGTTAAATTGTTACACAGATTCATATACTAGAGACTTTTTTAGACTCACTTACCTCAAATTACTTTCTACCTCAGATTGTCCACCCTACTGGTATCTATAAAACATCAAAAAAATTAATTGACAACATATTTTCAAATACTAAATCAAATAAATATAAAGCAGGGAATCTAACCACTACAATATCAGATCATCTTCCCCAATTTTAGTTTAAAAATTAGTTTAAAAAGATAACCAAAAGTATACCCTGATAATTGTACTCAGTCTCTTGAGAATACTATTTCCAACATTAATCTACTGCTTGATATCCATGCACCTTTTAAAAAACTTAACAAACAAAATATTAAATTCAAGACTAAACCATGGATATTAGATGAACTTAAGCACTCTATACAACACAAAACAATCTCTTTAAAAGATATGTTAGGTCTAAAAATCAAACAAATAAAACTATATTTCATGAGTATAAATTATTTTGTAACAACCTTCAATATAAACTCAAAAAAAGGAAAAAATATATATTTCATAATAACCTGCAATCTAAACTCAAAGAAAGCAAAAAAAAACTAAAAAAAAACATTGATATAATTCTTGAAAGGCTATTGTTTAATTGCTTAAACAAATTCTTAAATAAAAATAAACTGTTTTTTGAATTAAAATTTGGTCTTTGAACAAACTACTCTACATCACTCGCTTTACTAAGGCTAACAGAAAAAATTAAAGATTCTCTGGATAAAGGAATGTTTGGATGTGGTATTTTTATTGACTTTCAAAAAGCATTTGACACTGTAGATGTTGACATTCTACTTTATAAGCTATCCTACCATGGTATTCGAGGAGTTTCAAACTCCTTGTTCAAATCTTTCCTTACTAATAGAACTCAATTAGTATCCATTAGTGGGTGAGCTCAAACCTGAACAATATCAAAGTAGGTGTTCCTCAGGGATCTGTCCTTGGCCCTTTGCTGTTTCTTATTTATAAAAATGACATGTCTAAAGCTTTAGAGTTTTGTCCAGCACTGGACAAATACTGCAGATGACACGAACCTTCTCTATTTTAATAAGTCTATAAAAAAAGTTAACTTGTTCTGTCAATCAGTTATTGAATTTCTACCAAAAAATTTACATACATCTTTTAACGTATTACAAATGTTAAAAGTGCATGATATAAAATTGTTTTTTTGTTCATAGCTGTTTAAACAAAAAGGTACCTCCTATATTTAATAAATGGTTTACTCTACACAGAGCAATTAATTGTCAACTTACAAGAAGTTCTTGTATTGGTGCACTCAGTGTGCAAACATATAATACAAAATCCAACGGTAAACATTCCTTTAAATACTCTGCATTAATGGACTGGAATTAAATTCAAAATAAATTAAAATCAATCCCTTTTAACAAAATTTAAAAAAATGTCATCAAAACCAAATTAAAATACTACTTGTTACATCAAGATAAATAAAACAACAGTTTTATCACTGTTGATAAAAGATATATCACTTTAGAAGATTTATAAGATATAAATATGAATGTTGACTAATAGCAATCTTATTTGTGTGTATTGTTTATTTTATTTGCATTGTTTTTGTTTTGTTTTGTTCATGGTCACTCTCCTCGACTTAGTCTAGCTATAAGAGAGTGAACCATCTAGAATGTAGACTGTACATATATTTTTTGTAACTTATAACATTCTTGTTTAAAACATCTATATTTCTGGTAATATATTGTTTTTTATTGTTTGTTGTTATTGTTGTTGTTGAAAGTGAATCAAAATTTAAAAAAAAGGTATCTAATTAAAGAGACCAAGTCATTTTTTAAAGTAACCTTTTTTTTTGTAAAAAAGATAAAAACAAACAGCTTGGAAGATGATAATAATACGTTCAATACTTTTTGAAAAAAAAATTTAAAGTCTAGGTATGAGCACTGTAATCTAAAAGTCATAACTAATGGTTAATAGATTAAAAAATATAATAACTTTTTTTACATGTAATAAACACCATTATATTTTAAGGTATAGATATATCTTTTGTTAGAAATAGATATGTGTTTTTTTTTAATTATAGTTATCTCATATATCATGTCATAAGCAAATGGTTATCCTATTCACTTTATTTAAACAAATGGGGAATGCAACACGCTTTAATGTTATATATGTTAAAAAAATGTTTTTTTTATATGGATATTTATACATAGGTATATATATACATTTAGCCTGAATATTTAGTATATATATTTAGCCTGGCAACAGCATGATGTTCAAGAGCTTTGTAGGGTGCTATTTGATGCATTAGAAGAGAGTTTAAAAGGTACTGAGCAGGTTGGTGCTTTATTAATCTAGTTACTAGCCTTTATTTTTCAGCTAACATTTTAATTTTAGCAGTTCATGATTAATAATTTAATTTGTGATAAACTTGTATTAAATTTTTTTTTTTTTGCATTTGCAAGTTTTTTATAATTGAATGTTATTTTTGTTTTCCTTAAATCTGCTGCTATTGCTCAAAAATTTTTCCAAGTCATTTTAGCTTCATAAAATTTTACTATCTATTTAAAGTTATAAGTTACAATCACCAAAACTTTTTGCAAAACATTCTCATTTGACATAAGTAAGAACATAGAAAAGTTTGGAGTTTACAAAATAAGTGTAAGTGTCAAAACTCAAACATCTAAAAATCCAGTGTACACCGCTGATATATATATATATATATATATATATATATATATATATATATATATATATATATATATATATATATATATATATATATATATATATATATATATATATGTATATATATATATATATATGTATATATATATATATATATATATATATATATATATGTATATATATATATATATATGTATATATATATATATATACATACATATATATATATATATATATATATATATATATATATATATATATATATATATATATATGTATATATATATATATATATATATATATATATATATATATATATACATACATACATACATATATATATATATATATATATATATATATATACATACATACATACATATATATATATATATATATATATATATATATATATATATATATATATATATATATATATATATATATATATATATATATATATATATATATATATATATATATATATATATACATACATATCTTGATAAGATTTATTACATAGCGTATTTATTGCATAACAAGGTAAATTCATTTGAAATTTTAATTACTTCATTCAAAAATTAATAACTTTTTTTTCTAGTTATACTCTTACTTATCAAATCAAGTTTTTTGGTGCGAATATTTAAATGTTATTATGTTTTAAAAACTTTTATTTGTTTTATTATTTAAGGCATTTTTAATACAATTTTACTGTTATTTGAAACGAAAAAGTTTAAAGCTTATATAGTTTAATCCCTTTGAAAATTATGTTATGAAAACTTAAGGAGGAGAAACTCAAATTAATGTATTTTATTTAAAAATGCTAAGTGTTTCATATTTTAATCCAATCAAAATGTGTTTCATCAACGTGAATTCGAAATAAGCATTCTGGTTGGCTTAAAATACATTTATAAAAGTCGTTTTTCAAAAGTTGGTTTTTCTAAGCGAAATTAATATCGTAACAAATGCTAATATAAAATTGTTTTAGATTCAATTTGGGCTGAAATTTGGGGGCCCATACCCAGTATACCGGTATCGAAATCGGCCTGGATACGTCGCTGATATATATATATATACATATAAACATATGTATGTTTATATGTATACATCATATGCTATAGTAGATATATATATCTACTATAGCAAGCTGGGCCAGGAAGGTGTGTGATTTTAAGTCTTTATATGACCACGCAAATAATATTTTGTTTTGATGATTTAACCACAGTTTTTAACAAATGCGCTGAAAAAATTGGTTTTTAACTGCGTTGAAAATAAATAATTTTGACACGTTTATCTTTACTAACGTTTTTATATTAGCAAAACGCTTTTGAATAAAGAGCTGATAAACTTATTAAAGTTTGGAATGATTTTAATTAAAGTATGATTGAAAGTTGTAAATTTTTTGTTTGTATTGTTTAATTATATAAGATTTTTTTATAAGTAAAAGTAAAAAAAGTAAAAATTAAAAAAATTAAATAATATTTTATAAGCAACAACTTTAAACAGCAAAGGTCTTGTTAATAAATATTATATAAGAATTATTAAAGCCATTTGAATTAAATAACTTTGATCTATACTTATGTTTTTATATTATTGAAACGCATTTAAATTAATGTAAATAATACCAAACATAATTAACTTATCTTGTTTTAGTTCTTAAGGTTTGTTACTGTTTCAAATGTTTTAGTATTTTCCTTATTGAAATCTTTAAATTTGTTTTCAGAAAGATCTGATCAAAGAGCTTTATCAAGGAGAACTTGAAGATTATGTTAAATGCCAAAAGGTTTCTATAATTTCTCATAAAAATTCTTTTACATTTTTATTACTGTCACACAGACTTTTTAATATTAGCATGCTTTCTGTGTAGTGTGATCATAAAAATTTACGCAAAGATTTTTATTTGGATATTTCAGTTGATATGAAACCTTTTGGTTCTGATAAATCTTATGAGTCCCTGGTAAGTTTTCAGTTTTTTTAAAAAAGAAACGAATTATAAATATATTTATATAAAATATTTAAACTAAATATTATTTCTTACTTACAGTTATACTTTTATAGGAAGAAGCGTTAAAAGCATTTGTGAAGCCAGAAGTTTTAAATGGCAACAATCAGGTTTATTGATGTGTAATATGCAATCTTTACATTGTATGAAATGCCATCATTACACTTGTATAATATGCAACCATTACACTTGTATAATATGCAATCATTACACTTGTAAAATATACAATCATTTTGCCTGTATGATATGCAATCATTACACTTGAATAATATGAAATCACTTTTTAATTTATTCTTTTTATTTATCTGCTTGTAATTTTATTTATTATTTTATATAACAATTGTTTTTTTTTTTAATGGTTATATGAATTTATTTTTACTAAAGAAGTTATATAAAATTTTTTTTTTTATATACATTGAATGTAAAATACATTTGTTTTAGTATTGCTGTGAAAACTATAATATGTATAACACTTATATGTATAATATAAAGTATTATTTTTTTAGTATTATTGTGAACACTGTAAATCGAAGCAGGACGCACATAAAGTAGATTTTTAAGTTTGTTTTTATACTTTTTAATTTTGCCAGGGTTAAATTAATTTTTTATTTATAGATATTTTTTTAGGGCTTAAAGTTTGTGAGCTTTCCGTATCTTTTAACAATTCAACTAAAGAGATTCACTTTTAATTTCAAAACTCTTCAAAGAATGAAGATACATGACAGGCATAACTTATATTTATTTTGTGTAATAATTTATTTTTTAAATATAAATTAAAAAATAATTTACATTTATTTATATAAAAAAAGGATAAGTTGAACAGATAGTAAAAAGTAGAATTTGTTTCTCATAATGGGATATAATATAGATGGTTTTAATGTAAATTTTATTATGTATATAATTGTTTGAAAATTATTATTGTTTCTTCTTTTATATAACCCTGTATCTGCCTTTGAATGTAATATTAAAAATCATAATAATTAAATTTATACGAAACTAGTAAAAAGTGTTTTAAAAATTCGTTTAGTTAACTTATGTCAAATTTTCTGAATATCAATCATTAACATTACAGAAGTATAAAAGTAACCAATGATATGCAGCAAATTATAGTATAAAAATAAAGTTGTTAAACCAAGTTTTTCTATACAATCACAAACACAAGTTGTTAATTGAATTCATAAATGACATTAAATATTATGAAAATCAATTTTAAAATTAATCATTAATAGTATTACTTGCTTATTAACACAAATATTTTGTAATTTTATGATCACAATTTCTTTTTAAATTAATTATATAAATAATATATATATATATATATAAATATATATAAATATATATATATAAATATATATATATATATATATATATATATATATATATATATATATATATATATATATATATATATATATATATATAAAATATATATAAGTGAAATATTGTAAATTTTGATTGGGCAAATTTACTTTATGTAATGTTATGAAACTCACATTCCATTAACTTTATGTAATTTAGTTTCGCCATATATTATTTAGTTATTATATTAATTTCAAAAAGTTAAAAAAAAAATCTTTTACGGTAAAAGTTAACTAATGTTTTTACCCTGAAGCTGCTTTAGTTCAAAATTTTTGTTAGAGTAAAACAATTATAAGCTATTATGATTTGTGCATTATTAAATCTTACATCTTACATGGTATTTTTTTTTTAGAATGACATTTCCGTTTCAATTAGATTTGAGTGAACTTTTAAAATCGACTGAGGTAAAATTTTGTTGTTAATGTATCATTTGTTGTTGGGTAAAAATATTGTTTACTTACCACCAACTGAATAATGACAATCAAGAAAAAAAAGTTCTTGTTCAATTAGGGGGTGAGAAAGACCTACTTTTTTCTTGATATTTTAAACAACATAAAATTTATATGTTTTCTAAAGACTTTTTAGTCCAAACACTATTAGTATTATTTAACCATCACTGCCATTCTAGACATTTAAAACTGTAGAAGTTTTGTACAGTTGGATTTTAATCAGTCACCTGCAGGAGGACTGAGAGTAAAAATTTAGCTAACCTCAGTTTCCTGGCAATATTTTGAGTTGTCCATCATCATTTTTTTAAATAAATTTCTACATATTTCTTGTACAGTTAAGTCATTTTTGAATAAAGTGCTAACTGGGTTAACTAGAAAATATTTTTGCAATAAAGTGCTATGGATTACCTAGAAAATATTTTTGCAAACCAGAATAATTATTAAAAAATATTGATAATATTTGCTCTTCTAATTCTAGGAAAAGCATAATTTGGCATAAATGACTTTAGTTTTCTCCCTTGCTTAAGCGCTTCTTTTTTAAATATAAAAGTTTTTTTTCACAATAAAGTCTTTAAAATAAATGAAGTTCACAAGAATACTTTTGGTTTTAAGGCAATAAAACGAAAAACAAAATTCAAAAATGGTTTTTATCATTATTATTATAGTTCTATCATTATCATCTTTGCTATTTTTGCTCTTTGAAAAAGTTTTAACTCGTTTAGGTTTTTTAACGCTAAATTAAGAGCACAAAATTTAAAATAATTTGTTTTGTTTACTAAATTTTTGTGAATGATTAAAATGCAAAATTACCATATGCTAATGTTGCAGCTCTTTATTTTGCTAGTCAGTTTTTTACTCCGGATTCTATTCTTTATCTCTATAAATCTCTAATCTGTCCTTGTATTGAATACTGTTGCCATATCAGGGGCGGACCTTTGGATAATGTCCTTTCTCCGCTAGGCAAGGTGCAAAAATGCATTGTAAACATAATTGGAGCTGCACTTGCAGCCAATCTTCGACCATTGTCACATTGTCATAATTTTGCTTCTCTTTCTCTTTTCTATAAATATTATAATGGGCGTTGCTCTAAAGAGCTAGTGACTCTTGTGCTATCTACTAAAATTTATTCTTGTGTTACTCGTCATTCAATTAAGTCTCATCTTTTTACTGTTCCTAAGTGCTCAAAAAATTCTTATTCCTCTAGTTTTTTTCCTCAAACATCAGTTCTTTGGAATTTGCTCCCTTTGTGTTGTTTCCTGATTTATATAATTTGCAATCTTTTAAGTTGTCTCTTAATCATTATCTTGCTTTATAAATTTTATCTTTTTTCTTCCAGTAACTTCTAACTCTAATAGTGCTTACTTGCAGCCTTATTGGAAGTGAAGATGTTAAAAAAATAAAAAATAAAGTTTATTGTTTACTAGAATTGTTAACTGGAAGATTTCGTACAATTTTGGAAAAATAAAATTTAGAGTCAGGATATTTTTTTTTTCATGCCAAATATTACAAAACATATAAATTGTTGATGTTCATTTTTCAAATGCTATATAAGAAATTTAGCCTTTCGCAAGTTAAATTACAGAATAAAACTATTTTGCTACATACGAATGTAGCGCTTACAAAAGTTGCACTTGCAAAACAAGCTTTTTCGCTAAACAACGTTTTGAAGTCTATAAAGAAAGTTTGTTCGCCAAACATATATTTTTAAAAAATAAAATCTTTATATATCAAAATGTTTATAATAAAGTTTTATTTTCAGTATTGCAACATATTAACTTTTTAAGAATTTATTTTTTAAAATAATAATAAAAAACAAAAAATTCTTTCTAAACTAAAATTTTTAAACTCTTTTGCAACTTGTTAAACAGGTTATAACGGAAAAAAACTTACAAAACACCACACAATAATTATATTTAATTACATTTCATGAATGAAATATGTATAATTAAGTAAGTAACAAAAATACTAATTATATGATATTGATAAGTTTCAGAGCTGTAGCTTTTCTGAAAGTTAGAGATAAATTAATTGCAAGATTCAGTGAGAACTGAAAACTATCAAACATCATGTGAAGTTAAATTAAACTTTGTAATAAAACCAAATATTTTACTGGATTTTTATATATGATAATATAAGCCAAGCTAAGCTAAGCCAAAGGCTTAAATATAAATAAATATATATAAACACAAGCATAGGGACATGGGGCAGACTGACTCAAAATTTCAATTTTTTATATTTAAATTTTAGTTGCATTGGGCCCATATATATTCTTTATATATATATATATATATATATATATATATATATATATATATATATATATATATATATATATATATATATATATATATATATATATTATTATATATACATACATATATATATATATATATATATATATATATATATATATATATATATATATATATATATATATATATATATATATATTCTTTATATATATATATATATTATTTATATATATATTTATACTTAGAGCATATATAATATATATTATTTATATATTATATATGCTCTAAGAAGTCCTAATGGTCTTATCACAGAGCACTGTCACATAAAGAATAGCATTTAATAGATTGGCTCTCTATTTTCAACCTTACCTTAAAGCGTTTTTGTGTCAAGCCGGGATTTATACTCAAGGCTTTGCAGTCGACTAAATATATATATATATATATATATATATATATATATATATATATATATATGTATGTATGTATGTATGTATGTATGTATGTATGTATGTATGTATGTATGTATGTATGTATGTATGTATGTATGTATGTATGTATGTATGTATGTATGTATGTATGTATGTATGTATGTATGTATGTATGTATACCAAATGTATATGTATAAATTATTAAATAAATATTTAACAATATTTTTATTTAAATAATAAATAATAACATTTTTTTTTGTTTAACAGTTTAATTTCAAGTCTTTTCCGTAAGTGCACATTACAAAATGCTTCTTCCATAAAACACTGTTTTGCAAGAATACTTTTGAAATGATTAATTCTGCAAGTTTCTTTTCATAAAGCGTTATTACGGATTATTTTTTTTTCGTATACTGTATGTTTTTTTCTTCTTTTTTTTTTTTGATGAATTTATGCATGTGTTACTTCCACAGCAATTTGAAATACGCAAGATAAAAATGCGAAATTAAAAAGTTTTGTTTTTTGGTGAATAACCTTATTGTTGCCGTATATTGTTGAACAGTATTTAATAATGAATTTAAAGTATATATAGTATAAAAGTTGTAACTGTGTAAATATACTAAATATATTAAATATTTGAATTTATTAAATAATGAAATCTCTCATTAAAATCTTTTTTTTTTAAATCTATTGAAGTATGAAAGTATATTAAATATTTGAGTTTTTTAAATATTGAAATCTCAATATAAAACCTTTTTTTATTTAAAAGTCTATTGAAGTATGACTATGAAAAAAATAATGCTGAAAAAACTCAAAGTGAGAGAGCGGAAAAACAAATTTACAAAAATTGAATTAATTTGTTCTTTTAAAGTAACTTTTAGCTGAAAAAGTCATAAACTTTTAATGACTTTTAAATAAATATTTTTATTTTATATAATAAATAGATAGTGAAAGAGCAACAAAGCAATTTTATATGATTTAAATTTGTTTCTTCTTTAAAAGTAAATTTTAACCAACAACTTAAACCATTCATTATTAAATGTAAATCATTAAAGTTTTTGTATATTATTTACAGAAAGTATATGACATTAAATTTTATTTGTATCATTTATAATGTAAAATGCAATGTCGTGACCCATGTTCATCAAAGTATTTTATTTAATTATTTTTCTTTAACTAAATATAATAATTAAACATAAACTAATATTTTAATTTTTAAACAATTGAATGCATGAACAGTTTTATTTTGCTCTAATAAAAAATAGAAAAAGCATTAAACAAAATTTAACGCTGAGACTTGCAAAATGTTAGCGCTACGTGTTAAATGTTATTATTATTATGTTACATAAAAGTCATCAAAAATATGTAACTGAAAAAAATCATCTTTTTTAGAACGCAAAACAATTTTGGTTGTAAAAATTTTTCTTATTGATTTGTTGAATTAAGAAAAAAAAAATTAAGAAAAAAAAATTAGTTGGAACTCAATTGCATCAAAATTTTCTGTAGCCCTTCAAAAGATACAAGGGCTGGGATTTTCCAATGGGTAACTGTGACTCTACACCACTGAGTAGTAAGCAACCAGGGCTGATATTTTACCGGGGCCAGGGCTAGGGCTGAGTTTGATAAACCATACGTGGGGCTGGGGTTATGGCCAGGGCTGCCTAAATCTTGACAAACCCTATAAATGGCTTGGCTCTAAAGCCACTGACCCTGCTGGCACTAAAGCTTATATCTTCTGCATTTCTCAATTTCTTACTCGTTAGTTAACTTAGTGACTCGTTTCCCTGACAACCCAATCACTTACCTTCATTCCTTGGTTTGTGTTTTGTCTCTGATACTAGCTTGTGTTCAGTTTCTCCTATTTCTCCCTTAGGTCGTTCTGACCATGCAATGATCTCTATAAATCTTTCATCTCTTGCTTCTTTTTTAAGATTCACCCTATCATGACATTACTTACTACTACCCTAAAGCTAACTGGGATTTATTTTCATGATTTGCTTTTTGATGGTCCTTGGGCTGATGCATGTCTGAAAATGATGGTCTTTTCTGTCTCAGCTGATAAATGTGTCTCCTACATAACCTCCTGGATTCAGGCAGGAATTTAAGCTTTTATTCCTATTTGTTGGCTCTAAGTCAAGCTTCATTCTGCTCCATGGTTCTTGTGCAGCTGCTATATCTAATCTTAATTGTTTTTTTTATCTTTTTCAAAAGAACAACTCGCTTGAGAACAAATGGCTATATACTATTGCAAGAAATCAATGTAAAAAGGTGTTGTCTA